AATGTATCACAAACTTTGTGGCTTCTGATTTATTTTTAAAACATTCTTGGTCCCATTGGCTCCCCTTTTCACTGGAGCATGTTTATTATTACAGATGTTACTTTTAAATGAGGTCATCCAGCCTTCTTTTACTTCCAAAGGCCGTGCTTGCCTTTTTATTGCCAGTTGGCAGGGCTGCTTGGTGAATTGTGTGATATGAGATCAAGGTTAAGACTTCAGACCCCAAAAGCCTCACCCACGTGTGTACACACTTACATCAGCCAGACGTTTCATGAGAGTGTGGTCACTCTGTAGTGGTGATGACCTTGACGAGAGCAAGTTACCTGGCAGAGGGGAGGGGACAGGCATTGTGCCCACAGGCTAGCTTGACTTTCATGTTCCTTTTTTGTACAGAGTAAAACCTTGGACTTGTCACAAGGGCTGTCTGACCTTGTTTCCTAACCTGACCTAGAGATAATAGTTTTTACTCCTAGGATTTTTGTGAGCTACAATGCACTATAGCTCCTTGACACGTGTGTTTAGGTGATGGGGGAATGTGAAGATCCTAACTGCTAAAAGTATGAGACTTTGGAAAGGCCTCACACACAGTATATTTTGCATGGAGAACCACTGATCAAATACAGGTTGTCACTGATTTTTGTAAACAGAATTTTATTGGTACACAGCCACATTCATTCATTTACACATGCCTGTGGTTGACTTCTCACTACAATAGCAGAGCTGAGTAGCTTTGACAGAGACCATGGGGTTTGAAAAGCCAGAAATTTACTATTTGACCCTTAGCAGAAGTTTGTGACCTAGAAGAAATTTGTGACCAATGCACCAGACTGAAGGAAAGTTTCTATGCTGAGAGCTGGTAATTTAAACCAATGGGAAATAAGGAATGAGTGAGAATGCTAAATGTTTCTGGGTGTCTGTGGGCTTCATCTCATTCTAACTTAAACACCTGAAACCTTAAAAGAGTGATTTGTTGAGATGAGGATTAAATGGTGTATGTGGGAACATTAGCACAAGGCTTGACACCTGCAGTGCCTGATGGGCATTTGATCGGGTAGATTCTCCTTTTTTGTTTCATCAAATCATTATACCTAGGCATAACCCTGGATAGCCCTAGCATATGTTCCTAGAAGTGACAGGTTGACAGAGGCAGCACTGTGTGTGCCTTTTATGGCACAGTCGTATGTTGTCTCAGCATCTTCTTGCAAAGTAAAAGTTAATGGGCATCATAAAATGGGAGGCTTATTGACCTACATCTTCATCTTTGCTTCGTGCTTTGGAGTGGTTCCAGTGACAGGTGGAGTTGGCTGTAATGCCAGACCTGCATCTGTACCTGCCAGGAATAAAGATGAAACTGCCATTTTCACATCAACTGCATATTTTAATTGCTGTCACATTTGTTTATTTTTGGAAAGCAATCAAAATATTTTCCATGGTTCAAAACGATAGTACTCAGAAAACATATTGTTAATGACAAGGAGGTGTCTGCAAAGGCAGTAAAACTTTAAATGTGGCGGGCCTCACTCAAATGACAACAGAGGCAGGAGCCAAATAGATTGTAGCTCTGTATTCTACTTCCATCGGGGCAACTGCCAATGATACATACCTGCATACACAGTCCTTTGACAAATTGGAGAGCAGACCTTTTGCCTCTGGCCTCCTGTCCTGCCATGTCAGCATTTCCCCTAGTGACCCTACTGGAAGGCTCTCACGCTCTTGCCCTTACACACTGGCTGCATCTTGGGAGATGGGTATGTTCACATGCCACACACTCAAATACAAAAGTCCACAGCAGTGTGTGCAGGACACCTAGCATAGGACTGGCAAGCACTCACATGATACATGTCCCCAACACCATCTCAGTGACAACAAGTAGATCTTTCTTGTCTTTGGATAGCCCTCCTCTGTACCTCATTCAAGGTCTTAATTAGTACTAGGCCAGTTAATAAATATTGAGTGTATATTTCCTATCTCTCTCAACTAGTCTGTCTTTCAGAGATAGGAAATTGATCTTTTTAATCTCTTTCCTTTTGTCTTACAAGCAGTTCAGGATAAAAGAGTAGGTCAAAGTCAAGTGGGCATCAGAATAATACAGGCCAACCCAGTGACCTGGAGGAAGCAGAGTTTTAGAGCAAAAGCAAGGGCTTTCTGTGTCAAATAGGAATTCAGCCTAGTCCATATGTGGTAAGCCACCCTGGCAGCCACTGGACTAATTGCTAAAGAGACAAAGCAGGCCAGCATTTTGCCTTCTTGGAGTTGAGGATGCTCTAAGAAAAGGAAGGCAGGCACAGGGCATGGTACCACATCATTGGAGTACCAGGTACCATTACCCCACTCTATCCTGTCAGTCTTCATATCTCCATTTCAGAATGTTAATCCCTGATGTTAAGTAATGTGTAAAAACATAATATTGTAATTTATCTACCCTTTTGTATTGGGGACAAATGAATTTGCTGTCAGAAGAGCCATGTTTGAGAAGCAACCTCAATACCTGCCAGCTGCAGGTTTGCATTTGTTCAAGAACTATTCCCTGGGCATTAACTATGTGCATTGCTCTAGGCTCTAGGGTGACAAAGCCAAGTTACTGCTTGCATGGACCTGAAAATGTAACTGGGGGGTGAGGAGAGGGATGTTAAACAGATATGACAATTTCAGATGGGGTAAACGCATTGCAGAAAGCAAAACATGGTGAGGTTACAAAGTGCCGTGGTATGTCTGTCTTTTATTTCCCATTTCTTCATTTGCAGCATGGAAATTAGACTACACATTGTCTTTGATCTTGTAAAAGTTTAAAAAAATGTTACATGTGAAAGCTCTTTGTCTACCATAGAGGTAAAGGTCCATCATCATTGTCAGTCATATCTCATCCCTTAGAGCTATGCAAACAGATACTCAAGTAGCTATGTGGGCAATTAGAGATCTTTGTATGTTTTCTCAAACACACCTTGCACATTCCTTCCTTTGCCTTTGCTCAGACTTCTCCTACCATTGAGTGACTTTGTGCTCTGTTTTTGTGTCTTTAATTGTGTTGGTGTGTGGAGAGCAAATTATAAGAAGCCTGAGGATATTAGCACAGCTGTGCCCAATGTTATGTAGGCTGAGTTTGGCACAGCCCCAGCCACAGAAGAGGAAAATGCATAACAGCTGCTTTTCCTAAGTTGTTTACGTTCAGAGAGGTACATTGCAGGTTCCCCTTGTTACAGTGTCATGTCCCTCCCCAAGAACTGCTGCTCCACCCTGTTTATCACTGGATATAAAACTTTTTGGATGTGGGAGGCTTTTGGAAGGGAGGATTGCTGGAGGGAGATTGCTGAAGGGGGGAAATGAATTGCTGAAGGGAGGAGAATTGCTAAAGAGGGGTTAATAAAATTGGTTGGCAGCTTGCAAGGGAGTGGCCACTGTTGATTGTCTGCAAGTCTGAGGGCCAATACTTTAAGAAAGCTAAAGAGAGAAATGGAACAATGCAAGTCTGCACCGTGAACTTTACACATAGGCTTTAGAAGAGCTAAGGTAAAGAAAAGCTAAAGAGAACATGGGACAGTGCAAGTCTAAGAGCAAAGACTGAGAGAGATTATGCTAAAGAACAGCTAAAAGAAGACATGGGACAAAGTGAGTCTAAGGAAAGAGGTTTTAAAGAATAGTGAAGCAAGGTTGTAAGGAAAGACTTTAGAAGCAAGGTATTAAATAACTGTAAAGGAGTAAGGCCTTAAAGAATAACGATAGAGAAAAGAAGCAGAGTAAAATGAAGAGAATAATAGAGAAAAGAAACAATGAGGGTTGTGCGTCTCCAACCGAGTGCCCAACACACCTGGCACCAACTTTCTGTCTGTCTATCTATCTGTGTCTTTTCTGCATCTCCCATCGCTGCCCAGTTAGTCCCTGTTAGGTTCAGTAGTAACAGGAGTGAGAAAAAGCTCACTCTACCCATGTGTCAGTTATCACAACAGGACTTGGGTTTTGTTCATCTTTGTATATCTTGCAGCATCGAAAGCAGTGACCAACACATAGCAAGTGTGTAACAAAGGACTGAGGTGGTACTAACAGAGCAAAATGGCATGCCAGCTCAAAGGGAGGGAATTCTGATTGTGGGAGAGGGTAAACTAGCTTCAGGGGCTGTGTTTGGTTGTACATGCTGGCAATCCCAGCCAGGAGGATGGGACAGGAGGATTGCAAGCATGGGCCTCAAAAAGGCTGACACAATATGGGTAGCCCAGGAGTTGAGGAAAAAGTTCTTCTCAGTGGCTGGGCTGCAGTACACGCAGGAAGGAAAACCAGGCAACATGTGATGAGCACAGGAACCGCGACACCCGGGTTGGAGCCCCAGCTGGGTCATTTACTGATGAGGTCATTTACTGATGGTGACAAATTGCTTAAAGCTCACTGTAGACGTGTTTTTCAATTCCAAAGCAAGGATAATAATACTGCATCATCCTGGGCTTGTTTTATGGATGAAATGACAGAAAAGAATGACTCTGTCCTATGTCCAGGGACATAGGAATCATTCTCTCATGCTGTAAATAACAATTTTTGACCCTCAAGTACCCTCTGTGCTATTTCCCGTATTGTGACGTGAGACAAGTGAAGGCAAGGTCAAAATCACAGGTCTAGTCCCTCTGGAGACAAGGCCTATTAACATCACTGTTTCCACAGTGAGAGAGTGTACCACAAGCCAACGAGTGTACACTAGCCCAACAGGGACCGGCCCCATGAGGGGAGAGATGAAGGCACATGAATCATTTGTGCTAGAAAAATAATCCAGGACATATAATGTCACTCTACCATGTTAAGAATAATAGCTTCACTTAACTGAAACTTTACATTTTCTATTCACACGATATTTTTTTAAGGGGCAGAAAGAAAATGTTTTGTAGAAAATTTACAACCTATATCTAGTGGGATTTCTTCATACTACAAGCAGTTTATGCAAAACAGATGCCTGAGGAGCTGTGCCTGCGTGCACCTGTGGATTTGGGGGTTATATTTCATTTTCCCTACTCCTCCAGTTCTTGCAGACAACCTGAAATCCAACCCTGGAATCAAGTGGCAATATTTCAGTTCAGAAGAAGGAATTTTTACTGTTTTCCCAGCACACAAGTTCCGGTGTAAGGGCAGCTATGAGCATCGCAGTAGGTATGTTGACTTGTTGAAGGTTTTGATTGTTGCTTAAGAGTAATCTGCATGAATGGGCTGGGGATGCAGCTAAGGGATAGAGTGCTTGCCTGGCATGGGCGAGGCCCTGGGTTCCATCCCCAGCATGGCAATCAAACAAACAACACAAAAGTGATCTGCATGAATAATAGAGTCCTTTCCACCCACAGCTCTCTGCCTGAAAACTGTAGGTTCAGGAACTCGTGCTTGTTCTGAAGTAATTTCACCATTTGGTACACATGGATGTGGACATGCTAGGGCAGGGCCAATGATAAAGCTCAGAATTTTTCAAGAACTATCTTGAAAACTGTCAAGATGTGTACTAATGAAACGGAATTGTTTGAAGCACTTTGTTTTGTGCCCAGACATTTCTGTTGAAATATAATTGACGGTACCTTTTCTCTAGCCACAGCCTAGAACGTGATATCATATATCACAGTAGAGTTTGTGATTCTCAACTTCCCTTTCTGTGATTGAAATTTACATTCTAATTTCAACTACTGGAAGTTTTAAGAGTGTTCAGAAGCCCTGGATTAATGATCACTACTGGCCTGCTTTTCTCTCGGAAATGATTTAGGATTGTACCACATAGCCCAAGGGCCAGTAATGGTGAGAACATTTGTATGACAAGGCTCATCAATTTACAGAGCCCCCAGGCAAAGATGCTCTCCACTTGCAGTGTCAGGTGTTTGACGTCAGAGCATATGGAGTTAGTGCAAGGTACCCACTTTTGCTATGCCATTTTCTGGAATATAAATAATCACTTTAGTTTCCCTTTATCTTTCCTTTGAAGTATCTAGGATTTTTCCCCAAAGAAAAATACTTCTGCACCTTTCCTACAAAAACATTTTTATTGTGTGTGTGGTTTCTTTCATTCCCTCCCTAAACATTCTGGTAGAGACTTGGATGTCATGGAGAACTAGACCAGAAGTCATGACCTTGACTGATAGTTGGTTCATCTCAGGAGAATAGAGGCCATCATGAACCATTCAATTCTCATTCAGTTCTAAGAAAACAGATTATATGACTTGCTGCTTCTAACAAAGCACCTGGAAGGGATAATCCAAAAGGGAGACAGGGCTTTGTCACATTCATTCATCTACACCAGACAACTTGGAAGGTTTTCACAAATCTTCAGCTCAAGTCTACATTGAATTAACCTTGAGCAGCTCTGGTCTTGGCTAAGTGATCCATACTTCTCTTTCCATAGATTGTTGTTCCCATCTCTTTACTTGTCCTAACTGCCTTCCTCTGATACCTTTGCAAGTTATTTTCATCCCTTTGAAGAGAACAGTGGGTTTCAGAGCATAGCAACATGAGAAAGGCACTAGTGGATAACAGTCATGCTATAAGAACGCCACCCCCCGCCCAGTTTGTACATTTAACATATGTTACTATTTATGCATCCCACTAAGCGGTTTTAAAAACTTGGTGTGAAAATGTCAGCACATACACTCTGCTTTTCAATTTTGTGCAGTTTGAACAAAGAAAGTCTGTCATTTTAAAGAAAATCCTGTCCCCTAGCTTAGAGAACCTAAACATTTGACCTTGTAGTCCATGTGGGGATGGTCAGAGATGTTCCTTCTTGTCTATTCTGTCTCATTTCTGTAGTCACCTCTCCCAAATTCTTTTAATGCCATTTCCCTACTAGCTCAACAATACTGACTAGTGAAAAAAAATATTGTCATTTAAATATTAACGCAGGACTTTGGGTTTGAGAACAATTAGTGTAAACTTGGCCAGATTTTGAGGCATTTTGGCATTTTTCCTACATTTCTTAATTTATGCCCAGACTTTTGTGATTCACTGGCATCTAACATTTCACAGGAAAAACCTAGTGTTTTAGTGGTGGCAATAAAGGAGAGAATTCTCCTGAGGCTGATTTGCTTTTTCAAACTCCTCCTAATTTGTTCCAGCTTTAAAACTGTGAATAGAGACCTCATTAAGCCCTTTCTCACAAACTTTTGCTCTGTACATAAGCAGAAGGCGGCTTTGATCAGAGGCATTTCTCCTCTGTGGCTCCCTCACCCTCCTTTTTCTTAATGTTGGCAAACAAAAACCTGGCAAGAAGAGTGGCTATCACAGACTTGGACAAATTTTGATGGCATAGTTTTAAACACTCAGATAAGAGGCCTTTTGGTGGCTGACCTGTGTGAATTGTCTCAGTGCAGAAAGGAAAGGGGCCTCTTAACAGGACTGTTTGTATAGGAAGAGAGAACCCAAACCTGCTATTGAAAGCTGCCTAGCATAGCCACAGGTTATAGACTGCCTGGCTTCTGGCAAAGCCTCATTCAGTGAGTCTGCAAAGAAAAAATCCAGCCTTGGCAAGTCCACCCTTTTTTCCCCCCCGACTCTTGGCTGCTCTCTACAGCCTGATAGGTCACCAGTTCCTTTCTGATAGCAGAGTGGGTACTAGTGACCATATGATCATTGCAGAGGTGACAGGTGACTTTTGAGTATGCTGAAGAAGTCAATCCCCCAGACGGTTTACAGCTTAAGAACTACCCCTGATGCTCTCATCTTTAAAATGAGACATTTCCAGTCTCAGGGGATTATTTTCAGTGCACCAATTGGGTTTCTCCTCCATTCTGAGCTTCCTCCACGAAGAATATAAGGATATCAACATGCCTACGTACGTGTAGTGTTCAAAGCTGTTAGTTAAGGCCTTTCACCTAAACCAGGACTGATCCCAGAGAGTTTCTCTTCCCTCCAGACCCATCTATGTCTCTACTGTCCGGCCGCAGTCCAAGCATATAGTTGTGATCCTGGACCACGGGGCTTCAGTCACGGACACCCAGCTCCAGATCGCCAAGGACGCTGCTCAGGTCATCCTTGGTGCCATCGACGAACATGACAAGGTGACTGTTACCCTGGTGACCCCTATGCTGTGGATCTTCCTTGGATGTCTTTCTAAGCTCACTTTATTATTTTCTCATTTACAGTGATGAGTCTCATAGTGACACCTCAGTCAATGATGCACCACACGCACACTGGTGGTCCTAAAAGATCATTATATTGCCTGGGAATATTCCAGGCATACCGTGTAGGTTCGTGTAAGCAAAGTGTACTACTTATGTAGAGCATAGGTAGAGTACCAATGTATGATGTTTATTCAGACCAGGGCCAAATCACATAAAGAGGCATTTCTCAGAGCATGTCTCTGGTTAAAAGCAACACACACACACTTCCTTTTACTTGAGACAGGATCTTCCTGTGTAATCTCAGTGATCTTCAACTCACTGTGTTACCCAAGTTGACCTCAAACTCAAGATTCTTCTTGCCTCAGTCTCCTGAGTGCTGGGATTACAGATGTTCATCAGTGAACCTGGCATGAGTGTGTGTGTGTGTGTGTGTGTGTATACATATGTGTACACACACACACATATTTGATAGTACTGGGCAATTTGAACTCGACCTCACATTTGATGGGAGGATACTCTACCACTTAAGTCATACTTCAGCCCCTTTTTGCTTTAGTCATTTTTGAGGTCGAGTCTCACATTTTTGCCTAGGGCCCAGCCTCAGCCACAATCCTATTTCCTCCCATGTAGCTGGGTTGACAGGAGCAAGCCACTACACACAGTTTGTTGTTATTTTTCAATGTTATATGTGAGCACTATGTTACTACTTCATTTTGGAACAAAACAAAACTTTTGTGTTCCACCCTTTTTACTAGTCTTTTTCAAATTTGATAAATTGATGATTCCAGGCATTTATTTTAAAACTCAGAGTCTGTTCTGTAAGCTTTTAGAAAGTCCTGGCTGAGCACAGTGGTTCACACCTGTAGTACTGGGTACTGCGGAGGTTGAGGCAGGAGACTTGAGCTCAGGAGTTTGAGGCCAATTTGAGCAACATAGGGAAATGCTGTTCCTAATATTTCTTTAATCCTTTAAATGGCAGGATAACAAGTTTTTGCTTTTTTTCCTCCTCCAGATTTCTGTGCTAACTGTGGCTGACAGTGTCAGGACTTGCTCACTAGACCAGTGCTACAAGACCTTCCTCTCACCAGCCACCAGCGAGACAAAACGGAAGATGTCCACTTTTGTTAGCAGTGTCAAGTCTTCAGACAGCCCCACCCAGCACGCAGTGGGATTTCAAAAGGCATTTCAGTTGATTCGAAGCACAAACAATAACACAAGGTTCCAAGCAAGTAGGTGCATTCTCTCCAAGGAGTACAGACATGATAGATACAGATGGCATCACAAATATAGTGTAAATTAAGCTCACAACTATGGTTACAGGAAATTTTTTTAATTGATTTTGGATAGAATTTTCACATACTGTCTTCATTGTTATCTACTACTAGGCTCTTACTAGATCTCATCTTTCCCAATGGGAGGTGGTCAGACTGCATTGTTTCTTGACCCCCAGAGCCTCCTCCTCCTCCTGCTCTTTTATTAAGAACATGTTCTCACTTCTTTCCCCAGGGAATAGCCATCTCCTTTTTAACGTATCTGTCAGCTTCACCTCCCGTGGACGTAGCAGATCCCTGCTTGTGCACATGTGCAGGGGGCAGCACACATTCCTGCCTTGATTCTTCCTTCTTCTAGCCAGCTGTCATTTAGATGAGCAGGGCCCTTCACATGTACAAAGGCCCTCTAATTTAATTTTCATGTATTCAAGAAAATCTGGAATTGGGATTCATGTTAAAGGAAAAGAAAGGATATTTGAAATGAGACCCTGCTTTGAAACTTCCAAAAGGAATCTATTTCATTTCCCCTTTTATATTTGAAAATCTGTTTCTAGCTTTTTTGAAAATGTTAATGATTTTTTGTGTGTTTGTTTTGTTTTGAGACAGGATCTCGCTATGTAGCCTAGACTGGCCTCCACCTAGCAATCCTCTTGCCTCAGCCTCCCACATGCTGCATCACAGGCGTGAACCACCACACCCAGCTTCCATGTATCCTATTGGAATAAATTTTAAGACTTCATTTGCAAGCTCATCCATGTATCTGCATTGAAACTAAAACAACACTGATAAATGTAAAGCTTAGTGCCTGACACATACCCCCTTGAGTAAAGAAAGCTCCTATAATTGTTACAACTAATGATGATGCATGGCATTTTGGTTTCACTTTTCTTTATAAAAATATTGTCACAAAGTTAGCAGTTTATAAGACTATGCTTTTATTATCTCAGATTCTGTGGGTCACTGCATCTGAGTGGCCCGGTCTTCTGTTTAGGGCCGCACAATGCTACAGACTCAGTGTCAGCCAGGGCTGTGTTCTCAACTGAGGTTCTGAATCTTCTGAGCTCACATGTTTGTAGGCACAATTCAAACCAACATGAGTTTCATGTAGGTTTTCTTTCTCAAGTGCAGTAGGACAGTTCCCTGGCTTTAGGGAAGTCTTGAACCCTCTTAATGCGCTCATCTGCTTAGACAAGACTTACTCTCCTTTTTTAGTTGATCAGGTTACTTTCTCTTATGATCAACTCAAAGTCAACTTAATAGCTACCTTAATTACATCTGCAAGATTCATCCCCATCTGCTAAATAAATAGCAGGATTATTGTATAAATAGAATTTCAGGAGTGATAGCCCATCACCTTTGCCATAGTCCATTGGGTAGAAGCAAGTTACAGTTTATGCCTCAAGAGGCAGGATGACAGATACATGGTTTCTTTGAATCATCTTAGAATTTGCCTACCAGCATTGTTGAGCACCACCTATCCACAGGCCAGATTACAGACTGAGTGTTAAGTTGCCCACAGTGCAGTAAAGCTGGTGGACAAGACTGGCCTCACAAGTAGTTAAGTCAGATTAGCTAGTGTGTCAGTGCCATTAAACTGTCAGTGTCTCACTAGAAATGTTCTTTCTACTTACTCTTCAGTTATCAAGCCAACATTTGCATTTAAATCCAATTTTGATTATTTCACTGTTCAAATAATGGAGAGAAATCTTAGACTAGCAGTTGAAAACCCAGATGCCTACAGAAGCCTGGCAGTGAACATGGGTCAAGCAAGTGGGGATACAGTAGTGAAGATCAGTTGAAGAACAGAGTAAGCCAGCAGGTGGGGGCCCTGGTGGAAGAGTCTATTGTCATCATGCAGGAAAGGCAACTCAGTGAATTCTGATTGAAGAGAAGCCAGAAATCTGGATTTTTGCTGTGAAATCCCTTGATTTTCAAGTGTCATTCCAGCTTTAAAATTATGAATAGATACCTTATTAAACCTCTTCTCCCATACCTTCCCACACTGTGCATTAGCAGAAGCCTGGTTTGATGGGAGCCATTTCTTCTCTGGGTTTTTTATTATTATTATTATTATTATTATTGTTTTCATTGATGTTGGCAAACGTAAGACTGACCATCAAAGACTTGGACAACTTTTAATGGCACAGGTTCCAAAATGCCCAGAGAAGCCTGTTCTTAAGGCCAATTAAGATTTTTTTTTTAAAGGTTTAACTCACCGTCATCAAGTTTATAGCTTCTACTGTCAGCTCAGAAAAATATGATGCCAAATTAGTTTGCAGAAAGAAATACTTCAGGAATTTGCATTGTCTACTTTATTTAGGAGAGGCTTTAGGGTACTTGCAAGCAATAACCCTAGTGGTTAAAATTGTGTGGATTTTGGATTTCAACCAGTGTTCTATGCAGAAACTTTATTTTTTAACCTTTTTAATTTGAGATTAATTGACCTCTTCAGGCCTCATCTGTAAATTGGGGCTAATAAGATCCAGGTTTCCATCATAAGTGTGCAGTGATATTATGATATTCATTATCCTAGACGACTTCTAGTTCCAACTAGTTTACAAACCCAAAGATGGCCAAAGACCACAAGTAGCCTCGACAACCACCTAGAGAGGAGAGTGTATACTCCTAGGAATTCACACTCTACATCACTACTTCTGGAGACAATTATTTAGCATGTATCTTGCTTCTTTAGGAGCCATGAGGTCAAGGTCCTCCCAATGAGTAAGACCTGTTCTTTAGGATTGTTGTAAGGATTGGCTTATGCGTGAAGTGAAGCAAAGCATCTACCCAAAGCAACAGTCATATAAACAGAAGCTATGTGTCACAAATAATTGTAGTTTTGCATTCCTTTATTTTGTACCACCCAGAGAGTCTAAAACTTGCATCCAATGCAGGCTATTTGTCAGTACTGTGGTAGATCCATAACTAATTCTAGTCACCCTTTTAGCTTGTTTTGGAGTTATTGACTGGAGGATCATTTTATAGCAGAAAGGATAAGTTAGTTAGGAATGAGGATCTAATTGCGTGGGCAGGGCTCAAATTTGAATTGCTTTCCCCCTGCAATATTGACTGCAAGACATGCTTGTGACTTACAGAGTCCCTAAATGAAATCTGTGGCATTTTCTTCCCATTACATGCTGCATCTTTGCTCTGCCCCCAATCCCTGTAATTATGCATCTCTAACATTACTGAAATGCAAACAGTTTGAATTTCTCTAAGTGAGTGACTAGGAGGAGAATATCTTGGAGAGTGGAAAAAAAAATCAGACTATACTTGATAGAGCTGACAATTGAGAATAGGAAAATATCTCAGCTTTGCTTGAAGATAGGGTGATATTGGAGTCGAGTCTGGACAGAATTAGTGAGGATACTTAAAGAATGTATGTCTTATTATTGTTTGGATGAAAAGAAATGTGCTCAGCTGCTTAAAGAACCTGAAGGGTGTGTGCCTTCTGGCTTTCTGTGCATGGCTCCATGCCCTAAAACTAGCTCTTAGTAACAATATATTAACAATATATAAAATGCAGAATCATAAGGCTAAGGAACCAAACCCAAAGGTCCAGTGCATCCAGGAATTTATCACACATGGGTACCTTTGCCATGAAGAAACAGTTTGTCTGTACTACAGAATATCAGCCTTGTGATACAACTATGTGTGTCTCCCCCTCACCCCCCATCCGCACCCCACCCCCATGGTATAGGAAGTAAAATACTTTTTGTGCTTTGGTTTATTTAACATTTTGTTTTAGTCTGACGCTTAAAAGAGATGTTTAGAATTCTCATAAAGTAATTTATAGGGATATATTTATAGCATTGAAAAATACTACATCTAATTTAAGACAGTAGTTTTTTCTAAAATATAAGGCTAATTTTTTTGCATCACCCTTCACTTCATACTCTCTCATGACTAAATAATTTGCAGTTAATGTCCATTACAGGATTGTTCAAGCATCATAATTGGCTTTAAGACTTTCTTATAGGTCAAATGTTAATAAATAGAGGAACTTTAAGTGCACTTTTAGGCAAATTTTATTAAACTAAGTTCAATTGTCTACAATGGTTATACAATATAAATTATTAAATTTTGTGTGGTAATGAATACTTCAAAACAATTTGGAAATTTACAAACTGGAGGAAATTCTAGCCTGTGTCTTCATTGTTAGGACAACTATAAGGGTAATTATATTTGTTATATTTTGTTGTGTAGCAAATTACTCCCTCACTCAGTGGTTTAAGACTATAAACACTTATGACTGATAGTTCTGTAGGTCAGAAGTCTAGCACAGTATAGGTAGATGCCTCTGGTTCAAGGTCTCTCATGACATTATGGTTAAGCTGTTGCCGTCTTCTCAGTCCAACTGGAGGATCTGATTCCAAAATCACTCATGTTGTTAGCAACAGGAGGTTTGGGTCTGAGGACCTCATTGCTTGCCTTTACACAGGACAGCTGACAACATGCCAGCAGTTCTTCACAGTAAGACAGCAGCAAAAGCCACGGTCTTCTCTTAACTAACCTTGGTCTTGACATCCCATCACCTCTGATGCATTCTGCCCTATAAAGGCATCCCTAAGTGCAACCCACCCTCAGAGGGAGGCAACTACCCAAGAACACAAATATCAGGAAGTGGGATAATTGAGGGCCCAATTGTGAGGCTTCCTGCCATGGTCACTATAAAGTAACCTCAGTGAAGTGACAACAATAAGTGGATAACATAGAAATGTTTTTTCTCAATAAACAGAAATGCTACTGTGTAGGAGGTCCTTCCAACAACTCAGATTAGAAAGAAATGAAAACTCCAGCTCTCCTTCCTCCTTTAGGAAAGTTGGTTATTCAGCCTCCACTTGTTAGTGGTAGGAAGTTCCTCACTCTTCTTTTTGAGTCAGTCCACTGGACAGAAGTTCTTCTCACTGAGATGAATTTACTTTGAAGTTTCTCTGCTCATCAGCCTGATTTGGAGAATAGTTTTAATCTGAAATCATAGGTGCTTCTTCAGACCGATAGAAGAAGGGTGTATGTGTGTGTGTGTGTGTGTGTGTGTGTGTGTGGTCTCTTTCTCTTTGACCCTCTTGTGACATCACCCTTTTGCTTATACTCTATCTAAATTAACTAACATCCTCACAATAACACTGCAAGATCAGTACTGTCATCATCCCGTTGTACAGGCAAGGAAAGGTGCCTGAAGAAATGTTAAGACATTTGTCTAAATTGCCTCACACCATATGTAAATAGCAGAGCTGGGATTTGACCACAGGCTCCCATGTCCATGGTTTTACTGTTGCACCTCACTAAATAGTTTTCAGAATGAAAATATAACTAGAGATTGGGTAGTGCAAACGACCTTGCATGCCTGAAGAGCCCGTGGAAGAACCTCCATCTTAAAGCCTACTCCCCTCAAAACGTGGCTTGTGGTGATGGCTCTGCATCACTGAGGAAAGAAAGGATCAGTTATGTTCCAAATCCTCTATTTCAGAAGGCAGAAGAGATTTCTTTTTGGGCTAACTCAATTTAGCACAGTCTCAGGTGCCTGAAGGAAATCGCCTTCTTTTATCTGGTAAATGTATCAGGAGCATCTTTACGCTGGATAAGTGAGGCCTCGCTGTCCAGAGGGGGAAGGATGGAAAAGCAGCCCAAGCAAGAAGATGAAAGCCACCACATCACGTGGGAAGGAACGGGAACCGTGGGCCAGCCTGCTCCTCAGGGTGGGGAAGTCCAGGAAAAATGAAAAGGAAACTACATGGCTGCCTATAGCTGAAATCCGAGTGTAACCTCAGTTTGTGTGTTTTTGTTTAGATACAGACATGGTCATCATTTACCTGTCAGCTGGCATTACATCAAAGGACTCTTCAGAAGAAGATAAAAAGGCAACTCTTCGTGTCATCAATGAAGAAAATAGCTTTCTGAACAACTCCGTAATGATTCTCACCTATGCCCTCATGAACGGTAGGCAGTGTTTCGAGACTTTCCTTTCAGATGAAAGTTCTCTCTCTAAGTGGATGCTGCTTAACAAAAAGAAAAGAGACTGGGGACAGTGAGCTTTGATGACGGCTGTGGAAGGAGCTGCAGCCCTTTCTCTGTCCATTGCTGGTATTCAGGGCAAGTTGATGGTCCCTTTGTCTGCATCTGTCTGTCCAGCTGACTGCTTGTTCCCAAGTCTTCATTTGTGTGGTTCTACAGAAGATTTTGTATGGCTACCTTTTTGTTTTCCCAGCTCTTCTTCATATTCTAGGTTATCTGAGTTTTTGACACCATAGGGGTTGTTCACTTATGTTGTGAATTTCAGCTGCTGGAAGCCAAAGCACTGGCCTAGATTTCCTTCCTACCACCAACCCTGTGAGCATCACAATGTCCTTCAGCCCTGCCACCCGAATCTGCCTCAGCCAGCTTCCTTAGCTGTCAAATGGTGATAAGAATGGTCTACGCTGCTGGGCCTGTTGAGGCAGGAGGATCGTAAGTTCAAGGCTAGCCTGGGCTATGTAATAAAACCCTGTCTCAAAAAGACAAACAAACAAAGAGTAATCCCCTTTGCAGCGTTGTTGTAAGATTAGTTTTCCCCACCTACAATCTATTTCTCTTCCCAATCCCAAATTTCCATGCCGAACCATGTGGTTTCAGAGACAGTGGTTCTCCGTTTTAATATGCTAAGGATTGTTTGGTAAATGCTCTAAAATGCAAATTCCTGGGTCCTGTCCTCTCTCTTACTTAGGGGGGTCCAGGAAACTGTAATTCCTTTCTTTGTGTCTTATGAACCACAACTGAAGGAGGCCAGGCTTTGTCCTCCAGCCTCCATAGTTATAGTCTACACTTACTAGTGGTGTGGCTTATGGCAAATTATTTAATTTCTTTAGGTCTCTTTTTTTCCCTCTTTTTTTTTTTTAAAACAGGGTCTCACTGTGTAGCCCAGGCTAGCCTCTAACTCATGTTTCTCCTATCTCAGCAACCCCCCAAGTGTTGGGATTATAGGTATGCGCCACTACACTTGGCTTTAGGCCTCAGTTTTATCTGTAAAGTAAGATTAATAAAATCTACTGTATAAGGATGTTATGATTAAAAATAAAATATGATCTAAGTTTAAAGTTAACATAGAACCTGGCAAATCACAGGTCCTCAAAGCTAGCTGAAGGAATGAATAGAAGCTGGTGTGACTTCCTGTGGCAAACAGTGTAGCTGGAAGTGGACAATACCTCTGCTGTCCAGGGCTTGCTCCCCATTCAGCACTGCATCCCCAGCATGCCGTGCTTCCTTCTGACAAGCATGGTTCCCATTGTACCACAGTGAGGAGCTCACATAGTGTCCTCTCTTCTCTGTCTCTCCCCTTTTCCCAAGAACGTGAGCCTCACACGGGTGAGCAGTGACTTGATTTTCCTTGTATAGTGAGTGCTTGGCATAGAACCAAGCACAGCTGGGATGGGTGAGACACCCTTTTTTTGCCTGGGCTCATACCCTTCAGTGTTGTCTCGGTTACCTGTTAGCCTTTTCTCCTATGGTTTCCTGTCTTTTTCTCATGAGAAGAAGAAGGGGAAGGAAATAAAATTCCATGAGCACCTAGTGTCCAGCACACGAACCTCCATGTCTTTGAAGCTTACCACCCAATGAGGAAGGAAGATGGAAGATACAGATGAATTAGGTGCAGTAGAGGAGTGAGGAGACCCAAAGGAAGAGATTGCTTCTATGTAGCAGATTCTGAGTGAAAACACTTCCTTGCTTTATTTGTCTGTCATTGTGCCATCAGACTCTGTGTACATTTGTGGGGCTACTGACAATTTCACACTTTCGAACTCCTTCTATCCACCTATCCTTTGCTCTTTCTCCTTTTGATCTAGCCAGACATACTCACACTGCCAGTTTCTTCTCTTCTCTTCTCTTCTCTCTCTCTCTCTCTCTCTCTCTGCTATTTCTGAATGTTGGTCTCAAGGGCAAACACAGAACTACTATAAGAATTGTGGAAGAAAGAATTTATCAGAATTAGAACTTCTATGGGATAAAACACTTCCTGGAAAAGGACTGATTCAAAAAGGGAAGTTGACAACTCTGAGGAAGTTAGTCACCAAGCTGGAACTTGCAGGGCAAAAGGGAAGCTAGGATCTTTGAAGACCATGTAGGAGGACTAGTTCAGAAGTTTCTGGAAGGGTATTGGCTTTCCATGGTGGCTGGCTCTTGTGTGTTGCCAGTGAGATAGCTACAGCATGCTTTGGGTTGCTGACGAGCAAGCCAGCAGTTGAGAAAGGGAACTTGAGGCAGGTCAGAGAAGAGTGGGACAAACTAGAACATTCTGGTGCCTCTGTGTCTGTCTGTCACTATCACTTACTTTATCTCCCTGACCTCTCAATGCTTCACATTTGGCAGCTTTAGCTTGCAGTATATGGCAAAGAGGATTTTGAGAAATGTGGTTTCTAGCATGACCATGTTAGTGGTAGACCATTCAGCATACTTACCAGTCTGCCATCATCTGACTCTGCTGCTATCCTGCATGACATTTCATGATGGAGTGACCTCCCCCGGCCCCCCCCCAAAAAAAAAAACACTTACTAACCTCCCCTTCCACACTGCTCTGCTTTACCTAGCAGATATTCTTATTTGTTACTTTTTACTTTTTGAGAGAAACAAGCAGAGCATGACAAAGAAAGGAAATGTATTTGTTGTCTGAGTTGTCTCCTTTTATCATTTCACCTCTGGGGGCTTCTTGAGGGTACAGGGTCAGGCATCAGTCATGTCTTTTGGGTTGTGTTTTACTGTGGAGCAAACCGAGCACAGGGAAAGTAATCTGATTCTGATTTAATGTAGCCCAGGTATTTTTTTCTTTCCTTTAGCATTACATGAGTGGAGTAAAATCCAAGTTCATCTGAATACCATGTTTTAAGAGAAAAACCTTATCGGTTAGATTCTGTCACTACTTGAGAAGTGAATTTTCGAAGCTAGAAATATATACATTCCATATGTAGAAATGATAAGAGCACATATGGTAGGTGAACCATGAAATCTTCAGATTCTTTTTAATGACTAAACACTTCATGGTTTGCTATTGAAATCTTCAAGAATATTAGGCAAAATCTTTTTTTAAATGCACTGGCAGAATCTTAGTGGCGACCAAAATCATCTGAATTTGTTTAAAGTGGTACCCATATGTGATCAGTTACTAATCCTTTTGACTATGGGCCAACAATAGTAAACTAAAAAAAAGAATGGTTTATTAAATTTATTTTTGTGCTATAGATTGCAGATGTTGTAGAATAATATCATCCCACTAAGCCCAAACCTTTTACTAAGTTTTTGAAAGCCTCTAAATATAAAAATATACATTAAATAAATAAATTCAGTATTATGCTAACACTATCAAGCATGAAAACATTTGTAATTAAAATGAGCTTAAAGAAATAGGGTTGGAGGCATCATTTAAATGCAATCCATAATTTTTTCATTTAGTTTCACAAGATTTTGGCAAGTGATTTTGTGGACAAAGAAGTAAGGAATGAAATGGTAAACTTGTATCCTTTAAAACCCTTACAATTTCATTTACTATTTTAAATTAAATGTAGACTTGTAAACCAGTACTTTTGATTTCAAACATTAACTGAAGCAAAATAATTTTTAAATCTTATAATTAAACATTTTGGGGAGAGCACATTCACGCCAAATGGGGGCTCCCTTATTTACTCATGTGTTTTTCATCATTGTCTCTTGAAGAATCCCTTTTGACTATTAAGGAAAAACCTTGTTTCAGACTTTGTTCCTCAGGAGGAACTGGTGCTGTGTCCTGCATCCCTATCTATCATCTCTGCAAAGACCTTTTGTATTGTAACCTCATCCAGATCCATATTGAATCTAAATGGTAAGTTGTGATGTGGATGTAACCATTTTGCTTTCCTTGCTCTTCCCTTGGCTTTTGATTCCAGATGGGGTGACTGGCTTGAAAGAGCTGGCTTTTCTGAGGGATCTGGCTGAACAGAACTCTGGGAAGTATGGTGTGCCAGACCGGACAGCACTGCCAGTAATTAAGGGCAGCATGATGGTGCTGAACCAACTGAGCAACCTGGAGACCACCGTCGGCAGGTTCTACACAAACCTTCCCAATCGGATGATTGACGAGGCTGTCTTCAGCCTCCCCTTCTCTGATGAGATGGGAGATGGTAAGTCTGGAGAAAACTTGCTACTAAAGGAATGGGGAAGAAATACACCACTTTCTCTGGATCCTAGGGCTACATAGATAGACCCTGACATATAACCTGTAACATTGTATTCTGGAGCAGAAATCCCCAGCCTTGTTTCTTCCTTAGTGCCCAGCCCCCGTAAACGTAATGGTGTATCTTCTTAAGCAGCTTTGTGAAGATTCTCCAATATCCAGATTTTCTCAATTCGCACTGAAGGATAGCCTTGGATCACAAATGTAAATGAAAGCTGGCGCCATGGTGTAGTCAAATACAGGCTTGGTATCAATGGGCTCTCAAATCCACCTTTCCTGTTAAACTGTTGTCCAGGGCACCTTAATCTCATCAATTCTCCATTTGCTCATCTGTCAAATGGAATCACAAGTCTTTCAAATTTTTAGGATTAAGTCATATACATATATGTGTACACATATATATACACACATATACATACCTACACATATATACACCTACATATATATACATATACGCACACGCATATATGTATCTTCATCAGTAATTGGCATACCACCCAATTACTACTCTTTTAATTTTTATATAGTATTTTAGCTTTATCGTTATCATCCTAATCCCCATCATTCTGATGCAACAAGTTACTGAGAACATGATGTTGTGTAAAATGCTTTAAGCTTCACATGATTCAATTTCCTGACCTAAAAAAATGGAAAATGTATTTCCCTCGCAGCAGTTCTGAAGAGGAATACAATAATACATGCAAAGTGTACAGAACAATGCCTGGCAACAATATATTCTCAGAAAACAAACACATTTTTTTCCATCATCTTATTCTTACATATCCTTGACAAAAGAGTTGGAGAGGCAGCTAATTACTAGCCAGACAGACAATCTGGAATTTTGTGGGGGGTTTTTTGTTGTTGTTGTTCAATTAACTAGAAACTCTCAAACGTATAGATAGTCAAAGAAAACTCCCATTTGAAAATTAACAATCCTATGGAAGATGTTTTCTGGAAATGGATAAGCATTCTTTTTATACTGAAGAAATATAACAACTGCTATTAAACCTCAATTTTTTTTCCTTCATCCTTCTGGCAGGGTCCACAGATGTGTATAGCTAGACACTCCCACCTGTAGATAAGGCTGTTAGTAACAATGTCATATTTTGAATGCTCTTGACTTTTGATGCATTAGCCAACACTACCAAGTGCCAGCCAGGCACCATGCCAGGCAGTAAGGGGAAAGACACACTTCCCCCTTACCAAAGATTTTATGTCTGATAAGAGAAAGTCAGATCATAAATACTGCTAAAACCGTGGGAAAGGAACAAAGACAAATATAGAAACTCAGCCCTGAGGAAACTGAGAACTGAGCAGGTAAACTCTATTACCAATAGCCTTATTAGGTAGGGTGGAGCCCTTCCTAAAGTTGTGGTGCTCTCCACAACCCACAGAACTATCCTGGGTGCTTTGAACCACATCATGTATAAAAACTTGGCTACCTTGACTGGTGTTATCCAAATTTTGGTCCTCAGGGCCTGTTTTGTGAATCCTATACAGTGGGTTTCAGCCATTGGTTTACAGATCTCTTGAATTCCTCTATCATTTTGTGTTTTCAGTCCCTGGAATTGTTGAGTGACATATCCTCTTACTCTGTGACATGAGAACTTGAGTCTAGGGAAACCCATATGTACATGGCTCTAATTCAAAAGCACCACAGATTAAAATACCTGTTGCTGAACATATATATTTCTCTTAAAAAGCAAATCTTTAAGTGCTTTAGGTTAAGGTAGAGAGAGTGTTTGAGGATTTTGTCAATGTGGTGAGACTTAGCATACTTTGTTAACCACATTGGGATCAAGACTCTTCTGTCCAAGTTAATTGAAAAGTGAAATTGTCTTGAGGGTATTTCCATTCTTTTTTACTGAGCTATGAAAATTGCTTTAATCTTAGATGAAAGCCTAGGGATACATGGCCTGTGTTTTGGGACCTCTGTCCCCATACTTGCTGGCCCTCACAGCACTGCTTCTGCTATTCATTCATTCATTCAGGGAGACCTGAGCAAAAACTTTGCAAAATGCATACTTAAGACTTCATTAAAAAGCTGTTATTTTCAAATGTTTTGAAACATTCTAAATGTGAGCTGCTTTTAGAGAATGCTTTTGAAACTAGAAAAGACAGCTATAACATGGCTTTTCATACCCTTTTCAGCTTTTCATCCACTTTGCTAGGTGATACATTTTGCTGGTCTTTGCGACTACAGCAGCTCCACAGTAGCTCGAGTGGATGTCATTTGCAATTCTCTGTGGAAGAATTTTCTGATATGCCACTGAAGCATACACGTGCCAGTAAGTGTAGGAAAATGCAAGATCAAGGTGGAAGAAAATGGCTCATCTGTGGGTTTTGAGTTTTATTTAGAAGCCAGAGATTCATTCATCTGAACTCAGCCCTTACACTTAAGCCATGACTCCAATCCTAAATGTGTCATTTAAGAAAAAAAGTATTTAAAAATATGCACCTAACAAAGCCTGAAATGTTTACTGTCTGGCCTCCTATGTGCAAGTGCGGGACTCCTGGCCTAAGTGACTGAAAATGCATTCCTTTAGAAAGTTAATTTCAAATTCAGTGTGGTCAGATTCTGTACCTTTCTAAGTTTTTTTCTCTTGTCTACCCACTTTTTGAAAAGATGCGTTAATGAGCTATAATAATACCTTTTAAGAATTCCTTTACCCACAGTTTCTATTGATCTAACATCTTCTAGAAATCAGTACAGCAGTTGTCACTGTGTCCTTCAAACAGACGTGTAAACCAAGACCAAGGGAAGTCATGTCCAGCGTCACACATACCTTACAGAAGGGGTAGGGCTGGACTAGCACTCAGATTCTTAGATTACTTATCCAGTGGTCTTTCAAGTTCAGCTGGATCTCCTCCTTTCAGGAAATAGAACTGATGTAGTTAGCACTGCTGATGGTTTGCACTGATCTAGATGAAAACATACGAATTGCCTCCGTTCAAATGAGCTGTGACATCTGAACCGCCGAAGGACTGTTTCTCTGTCCCTCTAACTTACTATACTGTCTGCAAAGGCACTGGTTAATTACTGGTTTACACGGGGAGCTGTTCTGCCAAACAGTTGAGCTGGTTCTCTAGAAATGATGCTCTAGAGGCCGTCTCTGCTCTCTGCAGAGCCTTCTATACTGTCCTTTGGATTTTTTCTGGTCTTAACCCATAGGTTTGATAATGACTGTGAGTAAACCCTGTTATTTTGGAAACTCACTCCTGGGAATTGTCGGTGTGGATGTGAACCTGGCTTACATACTTGAAGACGTGACCTATTACCAAGACTCTTTGGCTTCTTATACTTTTCTCATAGACGACAAAGGTAATTTGCTGGAAGTTTGTCATAGGAAAGAATGGTTTCTTTAGCAACCCAAAGAAAATAATCTGTAGATGTTCTAATATTAATTAGTGAAAGACAAGTGGTATGACTAGCACTGCTCATTTGTAGTGGAACACTCACAGATGACAGAGTGAATCAACCAACCATACATTTCCTTGTGTTGAGTTGTGGGGTAGATAACAGGTTTTTGTAACATCGAAGAGTAAGGCTTAGAACTGAATAACACATAGAGTGATCCTTTAGGTCATTTCTTGTTCATTTTATTATCATTAGGACATTAAAGTTTATGCAATAGATTAGAATATTCAATAAAATAAAACCCAAATAACCAATACCACCACAATATTCTCAACTAGACAGATGTCCCATAATTTCAAACCTCTTTCTACTCTTTGGGAGTTTTATGCAAGCACACATAAAACAGGTTTAATTTTTATTGGACTGATGTACATACTGTGGAATAGAGTGGTGGGCAGCCATCCCAGACAGCTCCACATTGCAAACCAGTGATGGGCACTTTTATTAGAGCCGGTACTTCAGACAACCTATTTCTTACAATGTGCATTTTTGTTTTCTGATTTCAGGGTATACACTTATGCATCCATCCCTTACCAGGCCATACTTACTATCAGAACCCCCCCTTCATACTGACATCATACATTATGAAAATATCCCAAAATTTGAGTTGGTTCGGCAAAATATCCTAAGGTAAGAAAAAGGTGAGGGTCATAGTATTTCTTTTTTTCTGAGAATGAGACCCACTGAGGTCAAACATGAGTGTTTACAGTAGGGTTTAGGACAAGTGTATAAGTTATCAAAGTATTCTGAGTAATTTTTTTCTTAAGAATAGTAGTGAAGCTCTTACTTACTTCATATAGGTCTCTCAGAATATTATTTGGGGGTAATATCTTGTAAACCAAATTCTACATTCACATTAACTTTAATTATAAAATATTATGGTATATGGTATCTTGTTTTACAAGATTACTCTGGTTATACCAAACTGGAAAATGTTAACAAAATAAAATGTTAAGTTGAGGGTCAGCTCACTTCATTTGCCAAAAAAAACAGCTTGGCAAAGTAATATCCATTCAAGTTGACAGCATAGTCTTATACAACATTTTCTCTTAAAATACAAACAGATTGCATGTTTTCTAACTGTGATACATTATTTTGGCAGGTGGTAACCTAAAGAGAAATGGGTCTTTGTGTCCATTGGTTGAAAATCAATGACTGAGTGATTTGAGACAAGTCAGTCTCTGGAAAGAATTCGAATTGTGGCAGGAGGGGAGAGAGGGAGAATATATGCTTTTACAGAGTTGCAGATCTCACATTAAATCTTTCAAAAGTGATGAACGTTGTTGCTATTCAAAATCAGAGGTGGTCATTGACTCTCAGCTTCTTCCTTGCCTTTAATTAAGTGCTTAATTTTATCTTTTGCCTGAAGTATTTAATTCTGTTTGCCAACACAGCCTCCCTCTAGGCAGCCAGATTATCACAGTCCCTGTGAACTCATCCCTGTCTTGGCATATCAACAAGCTGAGGGAGACTGGAAAGGAAGCCTACAATGTCAGCTATGCCTGGAAGATGGTGAGTGGGCAGAAGTCAGTTTGGTTTGACTGGCCACAGAGTACAGTGCTCTTCTTCATACAGGAACTGTGAGAGCCTTAGGTCAGATAGTGTGAAAAATCAGTTTTTAAAGTGATTGGGAAAAGAAGACATTCCACGGATGTTTTGTAATGTTTTTCCTATGGTATTTATAAGACCAATAATTGTTCGAGAAAGATACATCAAGCCATATAAAAAAACACAAGAGTAAAAAAAAGCCATTCCCTCCTTCCTGCCTTTAGCTTCCAATTTCCACAATTGACCACTTTGATCAATTTCCAGAAAATATTTATGTACACACAAGCATGTGTGTGCATACATTTGTGGAGGTAGTCATGCATACATAACTTTAATGGCCATGTGACATTGCATTATGTAGATAGACCAAATCTGTTCAAATAGTTTCATTTAATTTAGATTATATTCAGATAGGGTTTTTTTTTTTATCATCTAAACTCAGATGATAGAAGTTAGGAGTTTAGAAAGAGGTATAAAAACCTAAATGTCTTCTGACATCCTTTGTGGAAAAGAAACTTCATATTAGCATGTGTGTTATTCATATACAGCACAAACAGATTGACATTGGCACCCATTTCACCTATCTCTTGCCAGCCTCATGCAGACACTGGTCTTCAGGAATCAGAGAGAAACAGAATCTAACACACACACTGTCTACACTACCTGTGCTTCTCTCCCCTCCCTACCCAATATAGAATAGCAATGCTATTGTGGGGCCCTAAATTCTCTAACTGACCAAAAGAAGAATGGACCTTTATATTTTGTCATCAGATTTAATCACAGCATACAATGCAGTCATAACTGAGATTTCTTTGGGTCAACATGTCCAATGTTGGACCTGTTGGCTCCCAATGAACCATTTATTTACTCATTAAGAACTACTTACTGAACATTTAGCATATACTAAGAAGGGTAAATAAGATGCTTTTCCTCATAGAGCATCCAACCTCGTGGTGATGTGGATAATTCAACAACTCAACACTGCCAGTATGTGGGATAGAAATGATGTTAGACACAAGCCTCCTCCAGCCTTCTTGTTTGTTTCTCAAAGATCATTCTAGCAACAGCAATTACCAAAAAAGCAAATGAAAGCAAAACAATAATAATAATAATAAATGAAAGTATTTGAGAAATTTATGTTTTACAAACCTAATGCTACTCATTTCCAGTCTATCGTCTAGTAATACAAATTTAAGGAAGTCATTCTACTTTGAAATTATCTTAGCTACCCTTGTTCAGAATTTTTGTTTTGAGAATGATAGCAACAGCTGTTCTTATCTTTATATTCACATACTTTTAAAATATAAATTGCTTTATTTTTTAATTTTATTGTTGTACTGGGGATACAAAGTGCTTACAATATATCTTGTTAGATTCACCCCTCCATCATTCCCCTTTATCCCTCCTCCCCTCCTTCTTAGAATAGTATCAACAGGTCACATTGTTTCATTTTCATACAAATATTTCCACTGTATTCGCCCTTTACCCTTTCCTTATGTCCTCCCCCCCTCACTGGTACTTACCCCCAGACAGGACTTATTTTACTTTCCTGTCCTTCATTTTTGAGAAAAGACATTTTTGTTTGTTCAAAATTAAATTGCTTAATTTTCAAATCAAAATGGGTCAGTCACCATTGAAAAATGGACTTTCGCATTTGCAATTGGAGATTACTTACCTCCAGCATATTCCAATAGGAAGCAACTCGATGACATCCTCGGAGAATATCTGCATTAATAATTGTTGATTTTAAAAAAGGAAGAGGGAAATGTAGACATCCGTGTGATCTTTATACAGTAAACAAACTCAGCGTTCACATTTTGGAAAGAGTATCACCTCTTAGAGTCTCTTTGAGGTCTAGTAGATTCTGGCCACTCTTCTTAGGCAAATTTGATCATATAATCGTTGCAGAGAGAAGTGTTAGCTTGCTCAGAGATCTGAAATTGTTGAGCAGATCACTATTAAGTAAAAACTTAAGGTAATATTCAATACCAAAGAAGTTAGCTGGTTGCCTAGTAATAAGGGCAAATATTTTTAAGGTTATTACTATTATTATCATTATGATTTAGTTACTTTAAAAGGAAAGAAAAGTAGATACTGACTTTGTTCTAAAGAATAAAATGGACCTTTCTACTAATATACTCCAAATAGTTAGCTTACTAGAGAATAAATGGCTAAACTGCTTTGCACCCATCGGTATAGCAGATACTGATAGACTGTTTCACTGAATTAATTTAAATACAACTTCAGAGATCATGTTGTCAGTGTTAAGAGATTACATTTTCTCTGTGTAAGCCAAGTCCTTTTTGAGCGAGGAGGCTTTTTGTGGTGACAGATGGAAATATTAGAAGGTATAAGAATATTTGCCTGTTACACAAGCATGGTTCTCTACAAAACATGGATCCCATGACTATCAGTGAACAAAACCCTTCCCAGTCATGGAGAGCCCTTCCAGAAACATCACAATTCCTTTTGATGAGCTGGGTGTTTTTGTGTTTGTTTGTTTGTTTTTGGTTTTTCTTTTTTTAGCTAGGCAAGTAATAGATCTGTCTTTCCTAAGTGTGCTTTTCTAAGGACTGTTTTAAAGTGCTACTTTTAGAAAATTAGGGTAACTTTGCATTTTTCTCTTATAGAATAGACCCAATCACAAAATTATATTCCCCATTTTTCTGGTAAGATTTTGATTTTTGGTTTGTTGGAACATGTAACATAGGAAAACTCAACTTAAAGGCTGATTATGTAAGACTGAGAAGAAAGGAAATAATAAATGCCATTTCAAAACACCCTGTCACTTTCTAATTCAGGGGATGAAGGAAGAGGATTAAATTTACTAATCTAATTAAATATCTTTGGCAGCAGTACTTGAAAGCAATTCCAAGAAGATGCAAATTGCTTGTGTGTTTCAAGATTCTGCCACCATTCTCACCAACCCTAAATTACACTTAACTCTAACCTGCATAGTTGAAAATTTCTCCTTGATCTCTAAGTGAATCATTTAGGCTGTTTGGTAAGGCACTGTCCTCTAGTTCTGTCCTAGCCTGTCCTCACCCTCTCTTACTTACAAACCATCTTTTAAATGGGTTCTTCCCATCTTCTAATATAGTAAGCATACAGTTATGCACTGTTTAATGACAGAAACACATTCTAAGAAATGTATGGTTAGACTATTTCATTATTATGTGAACATCATATACTTACATAAACCTAGATGATTCAGGTCAATCCCTAGATCTGGCCTGGACCTGGCCTCTTGCAACAATCAAAAACACAGGGTAAGCAGATGTGTGCCCTGCTGACAGTATAACAAAGCATACTGTTTTACAGTAAACTGTTTTTTTAAAGTTGGGAGTATACTCTAAAATAACAATAAAAAGTATAGTAGAGTAAATACATAAACTAGGAACATAGTTCTTATTATCAGTGCCGTCCATGATGGTACATGCTACACTTTTAAATAATAATCCTTTCATTGGCCCCGTGATTTTCTGTTACACACATTAAGTGCACTCAATACTGAAGGAAAATCAAAAATACCTTTTATCCCTTCTCATGATATCTTTCATTCATTCATCACATATTTAATTAGCACCTTCCAGGTGAGGATAGAAGACAAGAGAGCCAACAGAAAACAATGTATGCAATGTCCCTGTCCCAGTGGAACCTTCATTTTCTGTGTTACAAAGTCTTTATTGATTTTTTTTTGTAGGTACAAGACACTTCCTTTATTCTGTGTATTGTGGTGATACAACCAGAAATACCTGTCAAACAATTGAAGAACCTTAACACTGTGCCTAGCAGCAAGCTGCTATACCACCGGCTGGATCTCCTGGGCCAGCCTAGTACATGCCTCCACTTCAAACAGCTGGCAACTCTAGGTAAAGCCCTTGAATTTACCGGCTTCACACGTGATCTTACTTAAAGCAGCTCACCATAAGCATCAGCTTGGATCCTGCCCCTGTGCTCTCAACCACCACCACCACCACCAAAAAAATTATCTAATGCCTGCAGTGCTGGGTGGTTTGGGGGATGAAAATAGGAAGCAGGTGCCTTGGGTCAGGTTGCCTGGCAGAAGCTGAGGTGAGGATTTGTGTGTTGATGATGTACAGGATGGAAGGAGGGGGAAAGACAAATCACTTTGATTGCAGGTGAAGTTCTGCTCTCCTCCTGATCCTCTAGGGTACTCTTGAGTGCCCAACACACCAGAGTTTGTTGAGATTCTAGGAGAGGACTTCTGCTTCTGTGATCCTCAGTCACACTCGGCTTTATGCTAGGGCTGTGCAAAGGAGTTCCAGAAGCCCAAAGCCAGTTGTAAAGAAAGTCAGAGCTATGGGCCTATTGAAGGTCAGAGCACAGCCATGGGGATGCTGAGGTGGGGGTGGGTGGGAAACAGTAAGGGGTGCAAAGGGATCTATGAGCTATACTGACATTATCTACCCCAGGACCCTACATGGGAAGGAGCTTAGGAATAGGCAAAAGAATTCAAAGGAAGCAAAAGGGAATTTACATTTACAACATACCAGGTGTTTTAAATTTGTCACCTGAGTTCACCTGTGATAGAAGAAGACATTTGGGATTGCAGAGATAATTTTCCTAAAATAATACAAAAAGTAGCAAAACTGAAGGGTTTTTTTTCCCCTCTGTCATTGTGTAACCCCCTTCTTCTTATCCTTGTTCTGAAGTCTGCTCTGTCTAAAATTAATACAGCAACTCCACTTCCTTTGATCAACATTTGTTTTACCTCTCTATCCATTTATTTCTAATCTATATGTATCTTTATAGTTAAAGTGAGTCTCATCTACCCTGACAATCTTTATCTCCCCTGCTCTCTCCCCCCAGTTATTTGAGACAAGGTCTCACTATGTAACCCAGGCTGGCCTTGAACTCTTTTCTTAGCCTCCTAAGTGCTGGGATTATAGTCAAGCACCACCATGCCTGGTTCTAATCTTTGTCTTTTCATAGATTTATTTAGACTGTTACCATGTTTGTTACTATTTTCAATCAATCACTTTTATTCTTTGTACTAATTATATCTTTCTCTCTTTCACTGCTTTTTGTGGGTTTTTGAATTGATATTTTTAACTGATTATTCATATTCATGACGTACCAGACGATGCTTCATACATGTGTATATTGTGTGATATTTAAATCAAGTTAAACATATCTTATCTAACTATAATCAGACCCATTATCTAACCATTCCCCTTCCCTACCTCTCTTCCTCCTACATTCCCTGGGCTCTGTTAACCACCTGATCCAACAGACTCTCAACTTCTATGGAATCGACTCTTTTAGATGCCACATCTGAGTGAGATCAGGCCATACTTGTCTTTCTATGCCTGGCTTATTTCACCTAACATAACGATCTCTAGTTCCATCCAGGTTGTCTCAAATGACAGGTTTCCCTTGTGTATATGCATCACATTTTCTCTATCCATTGATCAGTTTTTTGTTTTTTGGTTTTTGGGTTTTTTTTTAATTTTTTTAGCTATTGTGAATGAACATGGGAGTGCAGATGTCTCTTTGACAGACCGGTTCATGTCCTTTGGATATGTACCCAAGAGTGAGACTGCTGGATCATGTGGTTATTCTATTTTTAATTTCTTGGGGAACTTCCATAGTGTTCCCCATAGTGACCATACTAATTTACATTCCCACTGATATGGTGCACTTTCTCTACATCCTCACCAGTACTTGTGTATCTCTAGTCTTGCTGATAATAGCCATTCCATCTGGAGTCAGGTTGATTTGTGTTTCCCTAATGACTAATGATTAGTGGTGTTGAACATGATTTTTTTATATTAGTCTGTTGACCAAGCTTGGATTTGACTCAAGTGCCTCTGGCCTGCCATGTGCCAGACATAGAGAGAGCTTTGTGTTCTATGTTGTTAATATGCTACAGTTTACTCGCTGTTTGGTAAAACAGGTATTGTCTTTTACCTTGTCAAAAATACTTAGGATTCAGAGAAATTAATAACTAAGAATCATCATCCACAACTGGCAAACTGAGTAGCAGGGGAACAGACTGGAAGAGGATCAAAGATAGACATCTCCACTCTCTAGATTCCAAATGAGAGAAAATTCTTCCTGGACACAAGATCTTTTCTGTGACACATTCTAGCCTGATATTAATCAAAAAAGGCTATATTTTTACATTTCTTTGTTTTGATTGGGGCTTTGGGGATTTTATTGTTTGCTTTTATACAAAGGAGGACATAATGTTTTGTATTTTTAAGAAATACTTTATTGACAAGCTAATGTGTGCATGACTCTTCCAAGTTCCACGTCAGCAAACTGAATACTACTGCTTGGTAAACACTGTTCTGAAATTTAGAGTGCTTTGGTAAAAGTGTTCCTGATGAGAAAGAAGCTCAAACCTAGATTTTTTTTTTTTAACTTTCTTTGGATAATCCTGCATAGCTATACTGTCCAGTATGTTAGCCACTGGCCACATGTAGACTAGCTGGGGCTGGTCTGAATTATGTTGTATGGTAAGTGTGAAGTACAAACTGAATTTTTATATTGATTACATGTTTAAATGATCATAGTTTTATGTATTCTATAAATATATTAGTAAAACTCATTTAACCAATTCATTTTTGATGTGGCTACAAAAATATTTAAATTCTGTTTATAGATTAACTTGTATTTCAGTGGGATGACACTGCTTCTTAGAGTTTACTCTGAAAATGTGGGGTTCATCAACTCAAATATTGTACTTTTGACTAATTGACTGGTCCTAGGTCCCAAGGCAGACCTTAGGCCAGTGTTGACTTTGCCTGGATCTCTTTCCATTCTCACCTGGATGGCAGAGCTCCCCCAGGACAATGTGGAGGGGTCATTAAGAGCAGCCAAGGATCAGTTAGTAACGAAAGTGGCCCAAGGTAATTAAAATACAAAAATATAATGGGAAATAAAGGATTCGGTCCCAGATTCAGTTCAGCCTGGCTTCTTGTGTATACTGCATCCTCATTCCTAATAAATATCTAAATATATGGCAAATAAGTGTTTTCTGTTTCATTGGTGATGGGGATTTTTAGTCAGATGTCTTTTAGAGGAGTGACTGGACCTAGGAATAAGAGTGATTCATCTAAAGCAGTTTAGTATGTATGCATATATTATATATATATATACATGAGTTTATATGTCTGTCTCCTTCACTCAAAACTTTGGGTCCTGTATCTTGCTTCTCCCCTTGTGCTCCATTTGTCTTACTGCACCAACCTTTTTTAAAGTGCCAATCTGTCACTATTGGAAAGGCCCAGTCCCCAAGACATCTCTGCTTCTCTTCACTCTGATCCTTCTGCAACTCTCTTGACTCTAAAGTGTGTGTATGCCCTTGACATTTCTGATATTGTTTTTGTTTTCCTCTATTGTGCTCACCCCTTTTCTTTCCAACTGAATCTCAACTTCTTTCTTTCTTTCTTTCTTTCTTTCTGGCACATTCTTGTGTAGATGGACCACGTGGGCATATGTACATGAATCTATATCATGCTGCAGGGCAACCTGGCCTCTGCTTTTCTTCTCTTTGATTACTTGTGATTAATATAATAAAAATCTCCCAAGACACCCTATGGAGATATCATGTGAGTCAAATGAGAAACGATGCTATGGAAAAATATTTTTTAAGAATGGCAGACTAGATGATTCGGACCCATCCTGTTGAATAAAAACCCTGTATGGAAACATACTCCTGGATTCAGGTCTACTTGAGAAACATGGAAGAACTCGGAACATAGTGAGGAATGACTGGGCCAAAACCTAGGAGAGGAGAAGAATCCAGAAGAGAGCCAGCACGGAAAGCCACTTTTTCAGTGTGTATGTTTACCAAGCTAGAAGACACAGCTGCAAAGTTAAACTGTGCCTTAGAGAGCTTCTCAGGGCTCAGAAGAAGGGTAGAAATTAAACCTAGGGTCAGTGGAAGGTGGAGTCTCTAACAGACTAACCCACCCTCTTTTGCCCCCATGCCCACACATGGGCCTGCTTTCAGCAGAGATACAGAAAGAGCATGTCTTAGGGCGGGAGTGAACTGAGTAAGTCAGGCCATAGGGGTCCCACTTTCTGAGAGGGTTTGGAAACTTCAAGCATTGAGTTTTGAGTCACAGTGTTGTGCTTAGCTCAGTGTACTGACTCATCGAGAGCTGCACCCTCCCTGTCTCACCTTGTAGTGGCAAACAGCAATTCCCTCTGGAAGAAGACACTCACCTTCTAGGCTTCAAGCTATTCCTACAAGTTAGTTTGGTGTTTTGTTATTGTTTTATCTTTTTTTGTTTGTTTCCCTAGTGCTGGGGATCAAACCCAGGGCCTAAATCACACTAGGCAAGTACTGTACCATTGAGCTATATCCCAAAACCCAAATTAGTTTTTAAGTATAATACTAAGCACAATTAAAGACCACCAGGGCTGGAGGCCTGGCTCAAGTAGTAGTAGAGGCCCTGAGTTCAAACCTCAGTACCACCAAAAAAAAACCAAAAAGATCACCAGACTACAGGAAAATGAGGCCCAATGTGTGAGAGCTAACCAAAGGGCTGGTTCAAATGAGGTAGGATACATGGTAGTGCTTTCTAATGCATTTTCAAATAACTGAACAGTAGAAATTCCAAAGACAAAGATTTCCTGGTTTTGTTTCATATTGTAATTCATTGCAAGAATTTTTGCGTTGGGTATGGTACTGTGATTTTCTGGTTAGGATCAATATTAAGTGCATAACATTTACTTCTCTGTTGCTACAAGCTTTTGTTTGTGTCAAGTTTGGCTGCCTCCATCTGTGAGAATAATTTTTAATTTGAACTTTGCATTGGCTCCACTGTTCCAACTTTCTTTCTTCCTGAATAACATTACTGACACGAATAGTAAAAGCAGTCCCTCAGTGATAAGGTAGAAAGCACTGTTCTATGCTCCCTCTGTTTATTGACTCATTTCTGTACAGCTATTAACTCATGTATTCTCACCACAACTCTATAGAACTATTATCTTCCCAACTTTGCAGATGAGAAAAATGTTACATATATTCCAACTTGCCAACCACCCATAGCCAGGAAATGGTGAGGCTCAGATTCAATCCAGCCTGGCTCCATGTTGTACACTGCATCCTCATTCCCAATAAATACTTGTAGATCTAAGAGGCTTTTACAATTTCCTTTTCCAGCACTTGTATTTATTTGTGCGTATACCTATCCTGGCTCACTCTTAGGACCATAAGCTCCCTGAAGGGAGAGTGTGTGGCCTTTTTCCTTTCTCGCTGTTCTCAGTGTTGGGGTCTTTGTTTCTTTATGGAGGACATTAAGGCACTGTAGCAGACGGATTGGCAGAACCTGAGCGATGCTTTTGTTCGGCCTGAGCTGAAGTCCCCGTGTTCTCAGGCCTTCTTTGTTTGCTTCTCTTTCAGAAAGTCCAACTGTCATGCTGTCTGCCGGCAGCTTTTCCTCCCCCTACGAGCACCTCAGCCAGCCAGAGACAAAGCGCATGGTGGAGCATTACACAGCCTACCTCAGTGATAACACCCGCCTCATTGCTAACCCGGGACTCAAAGTGAGTACTGGCATGGGGCCCTGTCTCTGGTGTCCCTCTCCACAGGCCCCGAAGGGAGTGCTGCCAGTGAACCTTTGAAGTGCCAAGCCTGGCTCTGCATCTGGGTCTCTCAGCTGGAGAGTCAGAAAGAGAGCTTGTGGCCCAGAGGAGGCTCATCAGCTATGATGACCCTTTGGATGGATTAAGGAGCCTGCCAGGTCACTTGAAGAATTTGTTTCGGGCGTCAGAGGCACAGGGGATTTCCAAGGTGGGTGGGGGTGATCAAGAGACCAGTGAAACTTTCCCACTCCATTTTTCCCAGGGGAAAGAAGTGCCACCACTGTCTGCTGAGATAAATATGATGTTCAGGGAGCAAAGTGAAGAGATGGGCTTGTCTGTGTGTCTTTGACACTTCACCACAGGATTTTTCTTCTTAAACTCGGACAGCCTTAGCCAGGGTGAACAACTGAGTAATCATACATCCACTAACTATATTTCTGGAAGCTTTTGTTTTCACCAAGTTTGGCTGCATCCATCTGCTGTGGAAAGATTTTTAGGAAGTAATTGGGCTTGGCTTCTCTGTGCGAGGAACCTTGGGGAGCCCTGCCAGCAGCCCACACTCTTTTCATGTGAGTTTTAAAGGAGCCCTGCTATGTCTTCCTTTGTTTCCCAGTTCTCTGTCAGAAATGAAGTAATGGCTACCAGCCACGTCACAGATGAATGGATGACACAAATGGAAATGAGTAGCCTGAACACTTACATTGTCCGCCGTTACATAGCAACGCCCAATGGCGTCCTCAGAATTTACCCTGGTTCCCTCATGGACAAAGCATTTGATCCCACTAGGAGACAGTGGTGAGTTTGAGGGGCCTCCTTTGTCAAGATCCCATCCCCCCTAATCCTGGAGAGAGATAACAAATACACACAAGAAAGCTACTTCAGGCAACCACATTTAAAGAAGACACTTTTTGTGGGGGCAAAATTGTTTCTGAGTAGTTTTCTTAACATAGCATTAATAACAGCTCTGTAATGCCTACAATTTTTCTTTCTTCACTGAAATTTTGAGAGTGAGGGGCTTTACAAATGGCTACTTCCATTCCTAGAAGCTCGTTTCATTCCTACCATGTGTCTTGTGCAGTGTGTTGGGTCTGCTTCTTTTTAACTACATAGAGTGAAGGCATCAAATTGTAATTCATGTATGACCTGTGGGAAATGAGCAAATATCAAGTTCAGAAACATTCTTTTACTTCTGAGCTTTATTTTTATTCTGATTTTCAAAACCAAAGCTAGCCAGGTGCTCTAGCAGGGAAGGAACTTGGCAGAAGAACAGAGTTTCTCATTCTGTGTTGGGTAGAAACTGACTCACTCCTAAGTCAGTTCTTCTTAGTACCTATTCCCCCACCCTTAACAATCCTGTATGTGTTTATGTGCATTTGCTTCTACTTCATTCATTAACTCCTTTTTATATTAGCCTCTAAAAATCTATGCTACAAATTTTAATAAAAGCACAAGTACAAGCCTGATGCAGAGATGTGCTCAGGAGGTGGAGGCAGGGGGAGCTCAAGTTTGTGGCCAACCTGGGCTACATGTGAAACCCTGTTTCAAAAAAATAAGAATAAAACAAAAAAATAAAAAGGCGTAGATGTATACTGAGTTCTGTATCTATTTTAAAAAGAGGAAATTTCAGGTACTTTTAACCTTTTGTGTTGATGCTATGCTCAGACATAAAAGAGAATCCTTTTGAATTTTAATGTACCATAACACAATAAACATTTTTAGAATTACAAGTTCACTTTTCTTTGAAATTGCAGAGTAATTTTTCATACTAAAGTGACATGACTTCCTTTGGTCTCCATTAGGTATCTCCATGCCGTAGCTAATCCAGGGTTGATTTCCTTGACTGGTCCTTACCTGGATGTTGGAGGAGCTGGCTATGTTGTGACAATTAGTCATACAATTCATTCATCCAGGTAATATTCTGATTAATTTTTTAGTCATTTCTTAAATCCATCCAGGATATTTTGGAAATTACAGTAGAACGGAAAACACCAAGGCTTAGTGGCCAAACCATGGCCTTTGAAGTAAGGCATGAATTTGAGTATCTTCTCCAGCTCTGTTGCCTTGTACATCTTGAGCTTTCTCCTGACACCTGTACAGTGAAGGTAATTCCTAGCTCACGAGGTTACCGTGTGAGCTGAGTCAAGTGACTCAATACAGGCTCTGAGCCCTGTTCTTGGCAACCATGATGATGTTTATGAAGAAGAAAAAGAAAGATGTTGCGATCAGTAGAAGTGCCAATTTTAAAGTGACGAAGGCAATATCCACAGGAGTATTTCAGCTTTCGGGGCCAGAATGTTTTCCAAGCAAAGGAACATTTGTAATGAAGAAAGAAGTACTAGGGTATCAAATTTATCACCTCTTGTATTTGGGTCTCTTTAGAATTATAGGAGCTGTTTGGTTTGGGTTTTTTGCCCTTGAAACTGTCTCTGGAAAAAATTGAAAGGCGTTTTGAAAATTGATTTTCCCGGAATTGCTATATGACAGCAATATCACTGTTAATATATTTAGAGTGCTACATTTCCTACAGTTTGAGGCTTAGTACTAAAGCTACAAATGTCAGCTAAAGGGTAGCAGAGATGCAAGTCACACACATTGTTTTAATCCGTTCATTATCCAAATAGCTGTTTTCCCATAGCAACCAAGGAAAGCCATATTTTGACTGGTATGGGAAATGATGCCTTAAAATTTATAGGAGGCAGATTTTCTTGCTCAACTTTATGCTTTTCACTTGTGTTCATTATATATCAAATGACTGATGTTCAGTAGAATTCCTCTAACACAAGTTCGTTGGGAGTAAAGATGGAGGTGGTGTGGAATTGTGGCCTGTGTCTCTATGAAAGGCAGTGCCTTGCAGCCAGCCAAATGTTGATTCCTTTGTTAGAGCCAGGTATCTGTTTGGCTCTGTCACCTGATCCTATCATACAGTATTTCACATACAAACAAGAAAACACTTACTTAGAACAGACCTTTCAATGTTTCCCTTAACAGGCCATCTATTGGACATATACCTACAAGTGTCTCTCTCTAATCAGTTGAGGAAAAGTGAATATAGGCTGTTTCCTTGAGGGGACATCAGTCACCTTGGTCTTTGACTGTAGTCCCATGGACTAGAGCTGCAGTGAGTTGTGTCTTAGCCTTCAGTTGTCCCATCAGGTTCTCCTCACCTACTCATTCCTCAGAGTCATTAACTTTCTCTCTGTAGTGTTCAGGAGGCAGGGCTAGAGGCAGATTTGTAACTCTTGTATATATGTGCATACATGTATTGATTGGGGTTTGGATGAGTGGAATAATTTTCATTTGGTTTATTTACAAATATTTATTGCGCCCCTCCAAATGAAGCATGATGGAAATATAGTGTGAACTTTCAAATTTGAAACCTCTGAGTTCAAATCTTCTTTATAGTTTTTGTTAAAACTGCACAGGTTTAACCAGAGTAAAAAAATGGCAATTTAAAACCTGGATTCTGTCTACTAAGTTGCTTTATGAATATGTATATATTCCCCAGAATAAGCATCTGCTTTTTCCCTGCTCAACATGCAATTCACAGACCTCATCATCTGAATATTTTTCTTAGCTGAATGTAATTTGACTATTTAAAGCTGCAAGTTTTTCACTTAATGGAGTTTAGATTCCAAGTCGTCTACCTCTTCTGGCACCCAACCATAGCTTTGACTTTGATGATCATATTGATAGACAGGCTCTGCAAAGATACTTTATACAAATGACTACTAGTAATTTTGGCCTCATGTGCCAGCTTGAGAATGCAATGCCTTCCTAAGAATGTAAATAACTAGATTTGCCATTTACAGCTTGTATGACTATAGACAAGTCCATTTTGCCTTTGGTTCCTCACTAGGAGAGAGGAATATTAGGGAGCATCTCAATTATTTTAAGGATTAAATTAAATAGTACATCTAAAGCTCCAGGAACAGTGTCTGGTACATGGTAAGCGCATAGTAAATCTTACTTTTATTACTATTAGAAGGAGGTTCCATGACCTCTCAGGTAAAACAGAGGTAGTTCTCTGTTGAATTGACATGATGATGAAAATTAGAGACAATATATGCAAAATGCTTGACACTGTACTTGACAATGTCAAGTCCCAAACAAATGGCAGTTATTTTCATTATCATGCTTTAAATTTGTGGCATTTTAACAGGTCAGAAAAAAGAGTGTAAGCTAATATTCAACCTGTCATGAAGCAGTCCCACTCACCCTGGGTTTTCAGAGGTGGTTTGGCAAGAATTCGAGGAGCGGCTTTGTAATTCAGCACTCACTTACTGGTTACTCATAGTAGCTCTGCTCTAGTTCTTCCATAAGCATTTTTAGTGGCCTAAGAGTCTAACTTCGCATTCCTGGAGAATGATAACGCTGCTAGAGCTGAGGTACAGTCATTGATTAAGGGACTGGTCACAGGATAATCTCACACACATACCATAAACAGTCTGGTCCGTTATGCTTGGAAGTGTAGGCTTAGTTGAATTTTTCCTATGAAATTCTTTGAGTTGCTATGGTAACAATATACCTATCTGAAATACAGGTAAAAGTATGAATCTAGACTTATATGGGCAAGATGCATGCTGTTTCTAAAGCATATTGATCATATTAAAGCAGATAGCAATCATACAGGGGAAGTTTAGAAATAAGATTAATTTATCTCAAAACACCTGAGTGGTATTTCACCAGGGCAGGTGTAGTATTATAGAAAGCCGGATTTCAGTACTGGTTTTGTTACCATAAATAACAGGAGATCTGATTGATCTCTTTAAAGTCTTGTAACCATTCAAAGCCTAATTTTTTCATTTGTAAATTAATAAAGTATGATTCCTTTCTGGCTTCTTTATAGGAAATTAAATAGTTTAAAATGGCTTAGAAACTCTTGAACACCTTCCAGGTCTGGTTTAATGGTTAAAGGAATATGCGTTGGAATTTGAGTTTCTATTACTGAGATGTTGGCTAAATACCTCATGTCCCCAAGCTCAGTCATTGATAATGCCTCATAAGATTGCTATGAGAAATAGTTTTTGCCCTTTTTTTTTTTTGTATTTTCTTTATAAAGAAATCAGACACATTGATTATGATAAATGATTATGATAAATGATAAATTATGATAAAACAATGTTGGACAAACCCTGCAGATTCTCAGCCAAAAGAATATAGGAGTTCATGGCCAAGTGATCCAGGTCCCTCCAGTTATGCATGACTGGACTTTTTAAAGAATCAAGGTTCTAAGAGAGACACTGTTGATATAGCTAGCTATATTTCTCTGAAAGAGTGGTAAGTTCAGACCTAAAACATAATATGAATAACACAAGTGTAAAACAGGAGGACCTCTTGGGGTTGGAACCAGCAGGAGGGGGAAGGGTGAAAGGAGAGGGTGGGGAGGGTAAATATGATCGAAGTACTTCATACACATGTATGAAAATAGAGTAATGAGACCTGTTAAGTGTTTTAAAGGAGGCAGGGAGTAAGAAAGAGTAATCGAGGGATTGAATCTGATCAGAGGATATATGCATGTATGGAAATACCACCGTGAAGCCCCTTTGTACAATTAATATGCACTAATCAAAAAAAAGAGAGAGGAAAAGAAGAAAGAAAAAGTGACAAGTTCATTCTCAACCCAGGCCTGAGGGCTTAAGCTCATTACTTTGTTTTCTTCTAAGTAACTTTTCCTTATTGGGCGTTTACTGTATGCTAGTTACGCAGCTCATTAGTCACTGTAAACACTATAGGATTTAATCCTAATAGCAGGTTTATGAAGTAGGTACTATTATTTTCAGATGAGAAAACTGAACCTCAAAAAAGGTTGAGTAGCATCTAAGAAGCCAACCACATAAATAGAAACCAGCAGGGCCAGGATTTGTCTTCCGGTCTGCTGAAAAGGTAGCAATTAGCACCGGATGCTGCACAGCGTTCCCTTCTCTAGTGCCATTCTTTGAGACTAGCCTTGTGGAACAGAGAAAGCCCTGGCCTATGAACCAGAAGAGTCTTGTTCTTAAATATGAGCTGCACCTTGAGTAGAATCACCCTCAGTACTGAGGAAAGAATATTAGACTAGACATTGTTCCTACTAAGTTTTGTGTGCCTGACACTGGTCAGTCAATTTTCATGAGGGCTCAGTTTCCTTATCGACGAATGTAGGAAGTAATTAAGGTATGGAAATAACCATAATAGCCAGGCATGCAACCTCCCAGTCTGTTATCTCTGCACCCACATTTTTGTCAACAAGTGTAAATGTAAGTAGTATCAAGGGAACAGTGTACTTCCACAGTCACTCACATTTTGAAATGGTCTTATTCAGAAAGTCATACATTCACTACTCAGGAGGAGGAGAGCAGGAGGATAACAGTTCAAGGCAAAAAAGTTAGTGAGACGCCAAGTAGGGCACAGTGGCATGCACCCATAGTCCTAGCTTTACAGGAGTCCTAAGTAGTTGGATGGAGGTCCGGTGGCTCTGGGCAAAAACACCAGACCCTATCCAAAAAACTACCAAAGCCAAGAAGACTGGCAGCATGGCTTAAGTGGTAGAGTGGCTGCCCAACAAGTGCAAGTCCCTGAGTTCAAACCCTCATACTACCAGAAAAAGAAAATTGTGCCTTAAATCTTAGTGTCTTCTCTCATGAAATTTTCACGTTACTTTACATTAGTCATTTAGTTTTTTGAGGCATGGGAAGTGGGGACAGGTGATAGGAGTGTATTTCTGATATTATACAGTGTTCCTGTGATTAAACATAGCTTTTACTTTTTAAGCCATTCCGATTGTTCTCACTGATCTATTTTGCATTCAGTACACAGATGTCTTCTGGGCACACTGTGGCTGTGATGGGCATTGACTTCACACTTAGATACTTCTACAAGGTTCTGATGGACCTATTACCAGTTTGTAACCAAGATGGCGGCAACAAAATAAGGTAAGCCTTGTAGGGATACCATTTCCTGCCAAAGTAAAAAGAAATAGATGTCTAAATGTCAGATAGCTCCAGTTGAATGGCAATGATCTAGTTATGGACAGAATAAGAAATTGAGTTCATGGCTTGGATGTTCTAGTAAGAAGGATTTTGTTCTTATTCTCCTCTTTCCTTTTTCTAAGATGCATGCTGTTGTTTATGATTTAGACAAGTAGGCAGAGTACATAGCAAAAGCAACAATATAATGCTCCAAAACCTTGTTTCCCTACAAGTCAGTAATTAGAGGCTTCCCATATCTTTGGTACTAGAAAGACCAGAGGGTACTCTTGGTAGTACTTTTGATGTTAACTTAGTCATTGAACCAAAGTCTTTGTGAAATTTCAGCTGCTTAGACTGCTTCTTTTACATTTCCCCAGAAAGAGGCTTATAGAACTAAAAGTCTTTGCCTCCTCAATTTCAAAAGAACATGTCTGATCAAAGCAAGGGCATTCCCTTGATTTAATGCAGACTGCTTTTAAAAATAGCTTTCTTAATTCAATCTCATGGTCCACGCTTCATGTCACTGTTGAATTTCACATGGGCCCTTAATGGGGACGTGCAGAGCTGCTGACAAACTGATCTAACTAATGTAGAGTAGAATAGAGCAGAAGAGAGCCTTGATTAAAGCAATTCTAGCTCTCAGATATGTTTTTTCTCTGTACCCCGGATGTTGTATTTTGTGTATGTTTATCATTGAGAGAAGAAAATTAGATAGTTCTCTTAAAGTTTGTGCCTATAAATATCCATGTTTACTTCCTCTGAGGAAAAAAAAAATCATCCATTCCACTTTAACATCTTTGCAAAATAATTTTGAGACCCTCATAACTTGGATTGAGTGGACACATTCTACATAAGAACTATGTAGGTGACCACAGAGGGACATATAGCTCTCACCTTAGCCTATATCCCATGTCACCCACATCTTAAGAATAAGGTATCAGCTTATCTGCCAGCCAGCCAGCCTTCCTTCATTTTCCCAATGAGTATCAGTTGCAAGGTAAATGCAGTGTTTTGCAGGGCTAGCAAGGTAAATGCTCTCTCAAGGCATAGGCAAGCAACTCATGTGAATGAAGACATCACTTGTTTTGGAACAGGTGCTTCATAATGGAGGACAGGGGATACCTGGTGGCACATCCAACTCTCATTGACCCCAAGGGACATGCACCTGTGGAACAGCAGCACATCACCCACAAGGTACTTGAGGCAAAACTGGTGAACCCAGTTCACCTAGCAGCCAGAGAGCACCTCATGACATTTGTCTTCTGCTCTGTTTGGTCTGCTAGGAGCCCTTGGTAGCAAATGATATCCTAAACCACCCTAACTTTGTGAAGAAGAACCTGTGCAACAGCTTTAGTGACCGAACAGTCCAGAGGTTTTACAAATTCAACACCAGCCTTGTGGTAAGCTGTGTCCTTAGCCCTCTTGGTTCCTGGTCCATTGTGAAATGTGAAATGGAGTCATGGTTGATGTCTTGAACTGTGCCCTTGGCTGCTTCATTGCCTTAGAAGTACAGAATCATAGCAAGGACAGGATATCAGTCCAGTTCCCTATTTGACAATCGTGGGATAGAAATCTTGGAATAGAAAGGGGAATGTTTTCAAATCACACAGTTGGTATTTTGTTTTGGCTTTGTTTGTTTAAAGACTCACCCAATCTATCCCTTTGAAATATCTGCTGAAGCCTGTTCCCACACTCTTGTGTAAATATACGTGGTACCATGTGCTCCTCTTTTCCTGTCTTAATCGCTCAGCCTCCTTGAACTCCTCAGGCCAAGTTAGGTCACGTCTTGATCACCCACCCTATTAGATGGGAACTTCACGGAACCCATCTGAAAATGATTTCTTTTTGTAGCTTAGTATACTCTGTGCAGTTTGAGTTGCTGCAGAATTTACATGGTTAAAGAATATTTTCACTAACTTGTAAATAATCCTACTTGGGAGAGAATTAAAATGGGGAAGGACAGAACTAACACTGAAAAAGTTATTCAGAGGAAGTAAGCTTTTCATGTAATTAATTTTTTAAAATGTACTGGGTTACACTGAAAATCCTAAATATCAGGAAGTTGTTTATAAAGGCAATCACCCCGTGGAAAAGAGGGGCTCAAAAATGAAAATAGAAATGGAATGGCATCTTTTTCAAAGCTAGGCACAACACTACTACCCCGTTAGACCATGTGCCGTTTTGAGCAGCACTGCCTTAAAGGGGACATTGACAAACTTGAGTGGTCAGAGGAAAACTGGAAAGGTTATCCTATGAAAGTCTGTCCTTTTCTGTGGACCTGATATCATTTGTGCAATGACTTCCAGAGTATTGAGCAGACAAAGCCAGGATCTTCAGGTAACAATATTTCAAAAAGGCAAAATTTTAGTTGAATGTGAATTAAAATAATTTCTTACTGGCTCAAGTTATCCCAAAATGAAATTGAAGCATTCCTGAATATTGAGGCTAACTGGATAATGAGCCTGTTGCTATTACTGCTTATCACATTTCTTGCTATAGAATAAAGAAAAGGAATACTTGGTTAGGTTGGATTGTTTAAATATTCTAGAAGCAGGAAACTACCCTCTTAAAGCAGCTTTGGGTTTTCAATATTATATTATTCTATCCTATAAGGAGAAAGGTTTGTTAGCCAAGGGAAAGAAGCATGTGTTTTATGGCATGTGTTTTATTAGGTTTGCCTTTGAATAAATTTTAACCTATTCCTCACCTGAAAGTTGTCTTTCATGGCTTCTTGAAGTTTTTGTTTCTTACGCTTTTCTAAAAAGATTTTTTTTTTCAAAAAGAGATGTTTTTTTAAAAACTAATTATAAAATCAGTTATAAAGATTTACATTGTATAAGCATAGATAGATAAAAGAGAACACATAATATACACAACTGTTAAATGGGAATTATCTCTGCTTGATGGGATTAGGAGTCATTTTTTCTTCCTGCTTTTTAAACAGAGAATGCTTGTATTCTCTCTGAGCCACATTTCTCCACATTTTTGACAGTGACTGTACGCTGCTTTTGTAATTAGAAACAAAGTTTTCTTTTAAACTGTTTTCCACAGATGATGGAGGTAAGCCTGAGTCTTTGCATTGCTGTCTGTCACTTCTGACACCCTGGTTGTTCTATAGGGGGACTTGACGAACCTTGTGCACGGCAGCCACTGTTCTAAATACAGACTGGCAAGGATCCCAGGAACCAATGCATTTGTCGGCATTGTCAATGAGACTTGCGACTCCCTTGCTTTCTGTGCTTGTAGCATGGTGGACCGACTCTGTCTCAACTGTCACCGGTAAAGATGGGATGGGTCACAATCCCTGTTCACCACACTATTTACTATTTTAACTGATGACAGGCATCTTGAAGTGCCATCCACAAAATGAACAGAACAGGAAAAGACAGGCCCGGGTTACAGAAGTAGTCAGGGCTGTTTTGTTTGTACCATCCTTGTTCATGGGGCAGTGGGTTAAAGCCAATTGTGTATATAAAACCTTTGGTGATTTGTTTTTATTGTCAAATAAAACAAACGGGCAAAGGGCTTCTTTATTTTACTTCCCAGTGCATGTACAATATGCTGTTGTCATTGACCCTTTGTCTAGTAACTTCCTCTTTGCTTTTCAGAATGGAACAAAATGAATGTGAATGTCCTTGTGAGTGCCCCCTAGAGGTCAATGAGTGCACCGGCAACCTCACCAATGCAGAGAACCGGTAAATGTATATATATATATATTTATACACATGCACACACCATATATACACATGAATGTAAGGATAAGTATGTGTACATGATCTCCATAGGCACACATAAATACAAAATAATATGGGGTCTTTTATAGGTTTGTTATAGGTTGGGATGATGTACAAAGATGATTCATTGTAATGATAAACCTAGTCAAGGAGCCAAATTTCAAACGGTGTCTGCTTTGAGGTTTAAATTTAAATGCCACTAAGTGAACAGCATGTGTATCTTATGCATATTGAGTCTCTTGGATTTTTTATTAACCTATGATAAGTATACAGATACTTTTCACGGGTGCATTCAGATATGCTGGAGCATTGTTCATATTAATGACAAACTTTAAGATCAATTAAATAAACTGATGTGATATGATATGAAGAATCCCTTCTGTAGAACTTAAAACTGTGTGTGTGTGTGTGTGTGTGTGTGTGTGTGTGTGTAACTAAATATATAAACAGTTTATGCATAGAAAAACATGTATGCAGTGACCCTCATTAAACTGCTAACGGTGATTACAGAGAAGTAGAGTTGAGGACTGTGAGTAAGGGAGGTAACACATTTGATTTTATGCATTCCTGTTATGTTGAATATTTATGACTTCATGCATATATTACTTCTATTGCATACAAATATAAATAAATTGAAGCTAAGAGTAGTTAAATAATTGACCCAAAGTTACACTGATTGGCAAAGCCAGGACTTAAACTCAGATTATGACTGGGTGTGGTGACACACACCTGTCATCCCAGCTGCATGGGGAAGCACAAATAGGAAGCCCAACTGGGCTTAAAGCAAAACCCTACCTCAAAAATAAACAATGCAAAAAGAGATGGTAGTGTCCCTTCGCCTAGCAAGTACAAAGCCTTGAGTCTCAACCCCCCAGTACAGCCCCAAAAATACCCTCAAATTTGTCAAAGACAGGGGCATGATGAATTTGGAATGTAGATGGTGTGGGTCCTGACCTCAAGACTTGCTTCCTGCACAGAAACCCAAGCTGCGAGGTCCACCAGGAGCCGGTGACATACACAGCTATTGATCCTGGCCTGCAGGATGCCCTGCACCAGTGTGTCAACAGCAGGTGCAGCCAGAGGATAGAGAGTGGGTAAGAGACCTAGCAGAGAACTCTTCCAACCAGTGCTTATTATAGTCCCATTCCAGATGCTTTAGAAATAGATCTGTTTATCAGATACATGGGTTTCCATAAACCTTTGATCCACCAGACTAGATACTGTTCAGTTCCCACTTGTTACAGAGGTTAGAGGGGCAAGTTTTTCCTGAAATAAGCAAAGCATGAGGGGATGTGGGACAAAGAAGCAAGACAAGGGAGCGGTATCTCCTGGGGTCTAGAAAGAGAACCAACTGTAAGGTTCTGCGTGATATTTTGAAGCTTATTAATTTTCCTTTCTTAGAAAGTAAATCTGCTACATGATACTTTTGAGAACTAAAAACTACTTGTTGCCTGCTTTCTCCCCACTCCTCTCTAGAGTGTTTTGGATAGCCAACCTGGGAGCAGTAGCTGTGGTAGACTGGAGGTGCCAGTGGCCATTTAATTAAACAGAGTGAATGCACAGAGAGGATAGCCATCCCTGCTTTTAGTGTGTACTTCAGCAGAGGAACAGCCTCCCATTGCACTGATGAATTTAGGATGTTACGTACCCCACATCTGTTAGGTTTGGGAAATGCTGCCACTAACGTATTCTCTTAAGAGAATCATTATGCATGTATATATTAAAAGCTTTAAGAATTGCAATTGGGAAATCTGTTTTAACTGGCCTGGTATTTCCTAACATTTGGCTCTTTTCTTAAAAAAAAAAAATAATGACCACACACATGGGGGATGGTAGATGAAAATCTCACAAACCTTGGGGCCATTTCCATTTGGTCTTTTAAGATGATTATGAATAAACCTGCACTAATCCACGCTGTGTGGGTGTCACAATTTAATTCACAGAGAACAGTTGTATTCTCTTTGTTTCCAAGTGGCTGAGGCATAAAACAGCTTTCTCCAGAAAGATTATTGCTATTCCCATTTTACAAGGAAAGGAAATGAAAGGGCAAGTTGTTTATAGCACTAGTAAGTAATAGAGCCTCAACAAGTGTGTGATGCCAGGGTTGGGGTGCCCTCCTGTCCACAGTGCTTTCGATAACAAAGTGTGCTGTCTCTGACAGGGACTGTTTCGGTGTGCTGGATTGTGAATGGTGCGTGGTGGACAGTGATGGAAAGACTCACCTGGACAAATCCTACTGTGCACCCCAGAAGGAATGCTTCGGGGGGATTGTGGGAGCCAAAAGTCCCTACGTGGATGACATGGGAGCAATAGGTATGTGTATTGGGAACCCAGAACCATTCAATTCTTGAATACAACTTTCCTGCCTAAAAACTGGGAAAGAAATCTTAAAACAATAATCGTCTGCCCACCTCCTCTAATTCCTTTGCCAGTAGTCTTTAGTTACAAAACCAAGGGAGATAATTGCCTTCAGAGCTGCTAGATATTCTGTGCAGAGACAGTGAGCAGCCAACCATGCTGCCAGATTTTACAAGCCTGGAATGTATTCCCATAAAGCTTGTTCTGAGAAACATGGGCTCTGATTTCCACATGACTAACTGTGGAGTGCGTTTGAATGTGCGGCCCAGCTGTCAGAAGCACAGAGCCAGCAGTGTGCAGGCTCTTTCCTGTGCAGCCTGGCCCTTTTTCCCCCCTTACAACCCTCACAAAGCAGCAGTCTTACAGCTCTGAGCCATATTTCGGGTGTTAGGGTTAGCAGGTACCGGAGCTACCCAGTGCTACCATAGCAGCTTAGGGAAAGAGACAGGGACGTAATGGGGAAGAGAGCCCCTGGCATCCAGCGTCAAGACTTGGAAATACTGTCAAGGAGACTATACCCCTCCTTAGACATTCTTCCTAGAATTAGCATGAAGTCCTAATTCTTAGCTGGCAGGTGAGTCAAATCTTTAAACCTTTAGCTAATACAGAGGCTCCTCAATTTAGGGTTGAGGCTATGTCCTGATCAACCTGATGTGAGTTTAAAAATATATCAAATGCATTTGCTACACTTAACCCATTGAACAGCACCACCTAGTAACACAGTTCACTGTAGAGTGTCAATTGCTAACCCTGTAACTCCACGGCTGACCGGGAGCTGTGTCACACTGCCAAGGCACTGCATCATGAGAGATGCTGTTTGACATGTCACTAGCCAAAGAAAAGACCCAAATCCCAAAGTCACCACACAGTTTCTACAGAATGCATTTTGCTTTTGCATCATCGTAAAATGAAAGATATAACTGGAAATATAACTTGGGAGCCATCTTTGTACCTTTATTTTTTAATATTCACCACATTAGCCTATCCAGAGGAAGAAAAGTACATATGTGAGAAAGGGTTGTGAGCTCACATGTTACTACTGACCAGGTGAGGGCAGAGTTCATGTGAATTTGTTCTGGAAAGTCATTCTACACATCCATCAGCAGGCCCCTAGCTGGGAGTGCAGAGCAGAGAGTGCCTTGGAGGGAACCGAAAAGATCTGAAATCTGGTCTCTGTAGCACATATTTCTTGTACTTCATGCCCCTTATTTCAGTGAATGTGTCACATGACCCCTAAAGAGGCGCACATTACTCTCAACCCTGGACTGGGTGATGTTTCCTCTGTTCCAAGAGTAACTGGAACTGTTTACGCTGGTGCTGCATCTGAAAGTGATTTCCATCCCCTCACCCACATGGTCCTTGCCATTTGTGTTCTTCTCTAACAAGTAACATTTGAGAACCAGGCATTCAACAAAGCCCCTGATCCCATAATCTGGTAGGTCTCTGAGGAACACACAGTGTAGACAGCTGTTCACCAAACCCCTTCCCACACTGCTCCTTCCCATCTTACCACTCTCCTTCCATTCCTCCCTCCCACCACACTTGGGAAATCTTGGCAAGGATCATGTGTGTTTCTTTCCTGAAGGTGATGAGGTGATCGCCCTAAACATGATCAAGAGTGCCCCCGTGGGTCCTGTGGCTGGAGGGGTCCTGGGCTGCGCCATGGTGCTGGTCCTCGCAGTGTATGCCTACCGACATCAGATTCACCGCCGGAGTCACCAACATATGTCCCCGCTTGCTGCCCAAGGTGAGTGCAAAATGAATCCCAAAGCCTACTGTGGGTTGTTCCAAGGCCAGAAGGACAATGGCCAATTGTTTAAGCCTCTAGGAAGGTTTAAGAGCAGTGCTATATCTTCGACTTCTTTGAGGCCATCTCAGAAGTCCCCAGTGTTTAGTGCCTAGACCCTGCCAGCTCCACTGTGATTCCCCAGAAAAACCCCTAGTTCCTGCCTTTTGCCAGTTTGGGTGCTAGGCCCTGGGTGGGAAATTGTGTGTCTCAGATGCGCTGTCCTTGCAGTTCTGAAAAGACAAGCAAATCAGAGATACTTCAGATCATTATCGCCCCAAACACAAGTCTGTTTTCTTGCACTGGCTGTTATATTATAATGTGACTGAACACACAATGAAATAGTCACATCTCTTAAAACAGGAGAAGTAATCAAAGTCAAGCACCCAAGAATTAATCTGTAATCGCAACCTTGATCTCAAGAGTTTTAAGTCTACTCTCTGTACTTATTTGAAGGGAATAAAACCGTGGCAGTCCCCATCCTTCCTAAAGCCTCAGGGATATGTTAACCTGACCTCTATGGAGAAAACGTGGCATTCTTCCTGGCCTCTTTCCTCAGCCTTGCAAAGGCTGATGTTAGACAGTTTCACTATAACTGCAGCCCTAACAGGGGTCCCAAGTAATAGCAAAAGCCCCTGCCTTTGGTGAGATTTGACTAGACTAAGGAAGGCCGTCATCCGGTGTTGCCATACGCCTGGCCTTTGGCGGTCTTCTGTGACACCATTCTCTCAGCAGTCAGCTGTGGTGTTGCAGTGCTTGTCTTGTATTTCCGTGCTTTGGTAGAAGATGGACAACTTCTTTTCTCTTCAGAGGTCAATTTCTGATGCGTCTTGATTACTGTTTCTTGTTCTTCGTTTGATCCCTGCCAACCACCCCCCGCCCCCCGACCTTTTAAAAGAGAAGAGGGGACATTAGTCTTCCAAAATATGACTCACTCTTTTGTTTGTTTGTTTTGTTTTGTTTGGTAGTGCTGGGGACCGAACCCAGCTCATGCCAGACAGCACTCTACCACTGAGCGACATCCCCAGCCCGGGATTTGCTCTTGATGGATAGATCGCTGTCACCCAGCCATCAAATAAGCACTCAGCAGGGTATTAAAGCAGGTGGTTTTGTTTGATTAAATAGTCATGTTTCTCTCTTTTTAATGATGGGTAGAAATGTCAGTGCGTATGTCCAACCTGGAGAATGACAGAGATGAAAGGGACGAGGACAGCCACGAAGACAGGGGCATCAGTAAGTATTCCGATGCCTCGCTGCAGCCGTGCCAGCAGGAGGCTGATCCAAAATAAATATTCCTTCTCATGTCCTCTTGGCTTGTATTAAAATTTAAGAAGCTTTGACACGGTGGGTTTTCTTTTTTTTCCTCTTCCTCTCTCTCTTTCCCTTTTCCACTAGGAGTAAGTATAGGTCTTTGTTTTAGAAAATCTCAGCAGATTTTTTTATGTCGTTTTTTGCATTAAGAGCTTTGGTCTTGAAGCATCTCACCCCTTCTTTCTCCTTCTTGTTGCTTTAGAAAGGAAGTCTGCAGTGTGCATTTTTTTAGTTCATTAACTAGTGTATACAAGTCAGTAGAGACAGAGCATTTTCTTTATCAAAAGAGAGTTCTGTTGGTGTTGATACCCCGGGCTTCAGCTGCATTTGACATGGGCGGGAGATGAGTGATAACCTCTCCCCACATCCATTCTAAGTAAAAAATTATTCTAGCTCTGCAAAGAGTAAGCCCCCACCATGTAGGTGAGCAGATCAAGGGGTGGGTAAGAGTGCGGCTAACCAACCTTGCTTCCTACAGTCAGCAATACTCGCTTCATAGCTGCGGTCATTGAGCGACACGCACACAGTCCAGAGAGGCGAAGACGTTACTGGGGTCGCTCAGGAACAGAAAGCGATCATGGTAAGTAAGGTCCAGCTTCCTACGTTATGTGATCCTCATCCCTCCCTCCCTCCCTTCTGTTTCATGCTGAAGTTACATAGTTTTTATTTTTTGGCACTACTGGGGTTTGAACTCAGGGCCTTATGCTTCTTGCCAGGCAAATGCTCTACATTTGAGTCATGCTTCCAGCCCTTTTTGCCTTAATTGTTTCTTAGATAAGGTAGTGACTATTTGTCCAGTACTGGCCTTGGACGGCTGACCTCCAATTGCAATTCTCCCAATCTCTGCCTCCCAAGTAGCTGGGATTACAGGTGTGAGCCACTATGCCCAGCCATTAAAATCTTTCTTAGTTTTTAAGATTAAGTTTTGCAGAAATCTTTATTTTCCTCCTAGAATTTTTTTTTTTTTTTTCTGTACTGGGGCTTGAATTTAGGGCCTACACCTTGAGCCACTCCACCACTCCACCAATCCTTTTTTGTTTGTATGATGGGTTTTTTCCAAGATAAGGTCTCAAGAACTATTTGCCTGAGCTGGCTGTGAACCATGATCCTCCTGATCTCTGCCTCCTAAGTAGCTAAGATAACAGGTGTAAACCACTGGCACCCAGCTCCTCCCAGAAAACTTTTTAATAAATAATGTGTTTAAGACTTTTTGCCTCAATTTTTTTCAGATCCTGAAAGAAGAAAAAAACCTTCAAATAATGTGTTTTCACACTTCTGTTAAAAAATGCAGGAGTTCGATTTTTCTCCAAGCAGCCTGTGTCCCTGCCGGGGTTTAGATCCCCTCTGGTGAACAGGAGAAGCTGCAGCTCTGTTTCATAAATTGGAGGCTGTTAATTTGGGCTCTGAATGACATTGTTCCCACCAAGTAAACAGAACCTTCAGGTTTCTGCAGAAAGGCAAACTTCCTGGCTGTTTTCCTGAAAAAGCTTTGAACCTGCATAAAATCCTTCTGCTGCTAGGCAGTTTCTGTGCTTCTCCTTTGAATACTAAAGCAGGTTTGGGATACTCAAGTTCAACAGGAATCATTTCTTATTCAGGAGTAATACCAAATCGTCCAGCACTCACTCACTTGCTCTCTCTCCCTCTCTCCCCCACCATCCCTCTTCCCCCCCCACATCAGTACCAAATTGTGAATTCCAAGTGATGTTTCCCAAGGTTCGAGGCCCCTCCCGTGGTCTGTCTCCATAAAATGGCACATGAAGCAGTAGCTTAGATAAACCTGAGGAACCAGCTAAGGCTGGCTTGCTTTCATTTTTCACAATAATTGGATCCCTGTTATCTCCATTGGGAAAAAAAAAAATAGTTTTTCATGCAGATAGAATGCAACACCCAAGGAAGTGGAAGGCATTGACACTGCACATATTCCAAAGGCATCATGAAATGGATTGAGCTTAATTGCATGCTGTCATAAACCTGGCCCTGAGTGGTGGGTCACTATTAAAAGTGCTGGCATCAAGTGACTGTCCCTGTGACGTGGACAGGATAAGGTCTAATCTAGTCTTACTCACCTGTGGATTCTCCCTTGTGGTGCAGGTATTAGTCTGCTGCTACCTGGAGGGTATTGGAATTCCTGCTGTAGGGAAATGCTTAGGAGACAGGGCCATGCTGAGCTCACTTTGCATTTCACCACCTTTCCCTGGAGATTGTCTTAACAAGACACTGAGACCTTAGTGAGCTACTGCTGACCTCCGTTTCCTAATTCTTAAAAGTAAGATTAAAAATGTCTACCTGGTAAAGCTGCTGTGGGGGTTAAATGAAATAACACAATAGGCTTGGTGCTGGGGCCTCACCCTCTGCCTGCACCCCCACCTTTCCCTGAAGGACTTTTCACTATAAGAGGAAACCATAAATGAAGGCGTTTGTCCCAGAGACTGGTGAAAGGTGGGCTGTGACAGCTGCCGTAGATAGAAGAGGGGTAGAACAAAGAAGAAAAGGAGGAGGGACAGTCCCCTTTTATCTGCCAGTAAATCAGAAACCCAGCCCCCCTGGGGGAACAGAGCTAGTGCCCAGGTTCCTGGGTTCTTTGCTGCTCAGGGAGTATTTCCATGAGTCCTTGGGAGCAAGACACAAAAGCAAACTCAAAATAAGTACATGACTGCTGAGCAGACTAGAGCCATGGTAGGGTTCAGAGCAGTGACATAACCTAGAGTTTAGACTGAATACCACCAAGCTAAATGCGGAAATTTCAGAGTATGTTTTTATGTTAAATTATTATATGTTGCCAATGGGCTCTGTATTTTAAAGGAATCTGATTTTAATTTTTATATCTTTAAAGAGAAACTACTCAAATCTAGAATATTTTTTGAAAAGTAGAGGCATTTGTGTTGGAGTGGGGAGCATTTGGTGGTAGTGATGCTGCTGGCTATGAACCCAGGTTCTTGCACAGGGTAGGCAAGTGCACTATACTGAACTACATTCCAGCCCTAATTTTTTTTTTCATTTTTCCATTTACACACATGTGTTTACATTGTTTGAGCCACCTTTCTTCTGCCCCACCCCCCTTCCAGGCGGAACCAGAACCTGTTCTGCCCTCTTGTTCTCCGATTTTGTTGAAGAGAAAACATAAGAGATAATAAGAAAAACAGCATTTTTGCTAGTTTAAGATAAAGATAGCTATACAGAGAGATTCCTAGCGTTGCTGCCATGCACTTGTGTATTGCAACCCACGTTGGTTCATCTCTACCAGACCTCTTCACTACTTCCTATTCCCCTTCCCATAGTGAGTTCTGCCTGTTTACGATTATTATATTCACTTCTATTCAGTGAGCACATCAACCACATTTAAGTTGCAGGTTTCCTTCCCTTTCCCTATTCCTCCCATATGTGTTCTCCCCTTAGTGTGTGACCCATGTCCAGTAAAATTACTGCATTTGTTTTAGGTCTATAATACGCATATGAGGGAGAACGTGCTATTTTTGGCCTTCTGAGCCTGGCTAACTTCACTTAAGATGATGTTCTCCAGTTCTGTCCATTTACTTGTGAATGACAAAATTTCATTCTTCTTTGTGACTAAATAAAATTCCATTGTGTATAAACACCACATTTTCTTAATCCATTCATCAGTAGTGGGGCATCTTGGCTGTTTCCATAGCTTGGCTACCAGCCCCAGTTTTGACAATATTCTAAAACCACTTAAGCTGTACATGGTGGCTCACACTTATAATCCTGGTTGCTTAGAAGGTGGAGATCATAGTTTGAGGCCAGCTCATGCAAAAATTTTAAGAAACTCCATCTCAGGGAACAAGCTTGGCATGGTAGCTTGTGCCTATTATCCCAGATACTTGGGAAGTGTAAATAGGAAGATCACAGTCCAGGCCAGCCTGGGCATAAATAGGACACCCCACTCAAATAATAACTAAAGCAAAAAGGGCTGAGGGCATAGTTCAAGTGGTAAGCACTTGTCCCTAGCAAGCACGAGGCCCTGAGTTCAAAACTCTGGTTCCACCACAAGAAAAAAAATCTAGTATCACTTAGAGTGATTGTTCTTCAGCCAACTGTTTCTCTCATGTGGTAAAGAAATAGTTAGTACCTACATATTTTTAACCATGTATCTGCTTTGCCTGATATTTCTCTTGAAAATACCATGCTACTGGCTTGTGATTAAGTTAAACACCAACGTATGTTTATTTGTGAATTTTTATGTTGGTTACTATCTCATTAGAAACTTTATGTGTATATAAATGCTTGAGAAACATCTTTACCTTTGGAAAAGAAAAAAAAAGATAATTTCCCCTCGTTCTTAGCAAATCCCAAAATACTTAAAAGGCAAGTGCTGAACCTTAAAAACCATGTTCTGGAGGTGCCCAGATATCCTCCTGCAGTTATGCTCTGTGGCCACAAGATGGTGCTTGTGTCCCCCAGAGAGACCTAGCATCCCTTATAAGCAAAAGTTCTTGGGAACCCTCAGATAAATTACATAAAGCACAGTGCCACGGTGTCAAAGTCTAACCTAGGCTCTCTGTTCTTTATGGATGCCTGGCCTCCTTCCTGAGGCCATCTTTCACTTGACTATCTTCACAGACACTTTTCTACATCTGCCTTTGAAAGTGTTCACAGACAACCTTTGTGTTTAAATAGTGCTTCCTGCCCCAGTCAGGGAGCCTGCCTGTCCTCATGTGCTCAGCAGAACTGCCTGACACTGAGAAGTCAGTTTATTGAGTGAGGAGAAAAATGTATTTGTTCTTCCCCTGCTTCTCCACAACTTGTACACCACCCCCTTCAGATTTCCATTAATTTTTAAAACAAGAAGTTAAAGGAGGTTTGAGCTATAGTATCTGTATTGGTATTTTCTGTTGCTGTGACAAACGCCTACAATGAAGCATTTAAAAGGAGAACAGATTTGTTTAGGCTCAGGGTTTCAGAGGTTTCCATGGTTTCTGGTGAGGCAAAGCATCATGGCGGAAGGGCATGGTGGAGCCCAGTTGTTCACCTTATAATAGCCAAGAGTCAGAAAGAAAGACAGGAAGGGGCTAGCATATTGTTGCAGGTGCTTTTCTAGTGACTACTTCCTCCAGCTAGGCCCCGCCTCCTCTTTTCTACCACCTTCCAGTGATGCCAGCTTATTACGGCTCCATCGGGGGATTGATCCATTGACCAGGTCAGAGTCTGCAGCATCCAAATGCTTCCTAAAGGTCCGTCAGCTGACAACCAAGCCCCTAGGACATGAGCTTGCTGGGGACCCCTCAGATAAAACCAAACAGTGTCATGATGAGGACATTAATTAAATGGCTATAAATGAGGATTTTACTTTAGAAGGGCCTATGTTGGGGTTCACCTAAATGTCACCTCCTCAGGGACCTAAGCCAAGTTCACAAGCCTTGACATTCCTTTTGGTATGCCTCTGTTCCATCACATGTGTGTCCCCCTCTTGACTCTGGTCTTGTCAGGGGCTGAGGTCTCCCCTTCCCCCTTCCTCTGCCCAGCCTCTGACACCTGACAGCAAGAAGACACTCGGTAATGAGAGATACCCTCTTTCACCTTAACTTTGCAGATGACATGCCTGTATTTCTCACTAATGTCAAATATGTGCCGTAGACTCTCAAAATCAAGGTGTGCAAAACCAAAAGTCATTCTTTCCTGAGACTCAGGGTCTCCCAAGTCCCCTCTCTCACCATCCTGACTCAAAGTTAGTCACCTTTCACTGCCCCTCACTCCCACATCCTTCCACCTTCAGAGTGTTGCCAACTCCTGTGGCCGTCCAGTCCCAGTCCTCATCTTCACTCTTCCTCCCATAGCTTCCTTTCCTTTTCGTCCATCCTCCAAACTGTCAGCAGAACTCTCTGAACACAGAAATAATTGTGTTGGGCCTTTTTGTTTTGTTTTGTCTTTACTGCAAACCTTGTATTCTGCAAAAACATCCCCTCCTCTTTGGCATGGCTTCATGGTCTACCTTCCATGAACCTTTCCACTTCCCAGCTGCCCTGTTCTCTAGCTAGCTGCTAGCACACGTCCAAGCCACATGGTCAACACACAGCCTTGCAGCGCCACACTTTTGCGGTCAGTCTCTTCCTAGTTCCTCCTGCTTACCAAAATACACTTAAATCCAACTAAAATGCAAGTTCTGGAATGTTACCCCTCCCCCAGCCAGTCTTGGTTATTCCCTCTCTGCACTTCAATTATAGCACTTACCACTATCTATACTAGAGGAAGCCTAGCTTTGTAAACATCTCTCTCATACTCACTTGTAAACTCATTAAGGAAAGGAGACATGCCTTATTCATGATTCGTCATCTCCCCTTCCAGCCCATACGCTCTGCAGTGAATGAGTAATGGAATGACCTATGCTTGTACTGCTTTCTCACACACTGCCTTTGAGTTCCTTCTGCAGGACCGAGTTTTCATCTCAGTCCTCCCCCAGTGCCCAGTACTATGATTTGTACATGGGAGGTGCCCAATAACTATTTCTTGCATTGATGCTGTCCCAAGCCAAAGAATGTTTAGGACTACTAGAAGTTGGAAGAGACAAGGGAGGATTCCCTTCCGCTCTCTCAAATCAGCTCTACACAGGGGCTTTCCTCAAACCTCACAGCTGCAAATAGTGAGCTGTGGTCAAGCCATCTTGCTGCATGGCCAAGCCAGAGGGAAAAGAGGGAGGGATCCCAGTTCGAGGTCATCCCAGGCAAAGTTTGCAAGACTTCATCTCAACCAATTAAAAAGCTGAGCATAGTGGTACACGCCTGTCATTCCAGCTATATGGGAAGCATAACCAGGATTGGACTGATAGTTAAATAACCCTGTCGTGTTTCATTGAGGACACAAGTTCGCCTTTCTTGCTTTCGCACAGAGCATACATTTCCCACTGCAGACTACTCCTGCTTGGCTGTGTGCAGGCACATCAGTTTTGCAACCACAAATGTGACTAGCACAACCCATGGGTGAGTGCTGATTGATGCTAACTATGGGTGCAGCAAAATACTAATGAGCTGTCACTCCTCAAAACGTTTAAAGGGAGATTTTTGCAATATTTAAAAACATGCCAGTGTTCTTGGAATGGAGTTCTTTGATCAACAAGGCATTTTCTTTTGAAACATATATTACTTAGAATTCTGACAGAAATTAATTTTTAAACATGGCAAGCCAGCTCACATAGAGAATAGTTGATTCCTTTTTTTAGTTGGTATGGGTGGGTATGGAGTTGGTATTTTTATTAGGTACCAGAACCTTGGGCAAGTTCCATTTCCCTTCCTTATAAGGTGAATGTTAAAATGCATGCCTTGTTGATGTGCGAGAACTACTGACGTGAGTGCCTGCCGTAGAGGAGGTATGCAGGTAATGGTGCCAGTTGATTTTTGTCCTTCCTGCCATTACATGCAGTTATTTCGAAACTCAACTTGTCCCCACCAGCTGCAATTGATGAGTCCTGTTCACATCTGTCTCTTGAAGCTATTGATGCCTGTTTGTTTGGATTTTTTTTTAGATAAGGCTGGAGTTTGAACTCAGGCCTTCACATTTGCAAAGCAGGCACTCCATGAACCACACCTCAAGTCCATTTTGCTCTGGTTATTTTGGAGATAAGAGTCTCTCAAACTGTTTGCCGAGACTGGCCTTGAACTACAATCCTCCCAATCTCAGCCTCTCAAATAGCAAGGATCACAGGCGTGAGCCACTGGAGCCCAGTTTGTTTGGATTTCTTTAACGCAAGAGAAAGTCTTAATCTCTAAAAGAAATCTGAGGGATAGCTCCCCAAATGTCAATGATAGTTATCTTTGTTACTGGGTTACGTGGGGTGATTTCAGGCTTAATGTTGTTGATTTGGAGATTGGAGGTGAGGATTCTTTGTTTTTGTTATTGTTGTATTGGGGGTACATTGTGACATTTACAAAAGTTCTAACAATATGTCATAGTTGAATTCACCCCCTCCATCATTCTCCTTTATCCTCCCTCCCCACTATTCCTGGAATAGTTTCAGCAGATCTTACTTTCCCATTTACATATATGAGTACAGAGTATTTCCACCATATTTACCCTCCTACACCCTTTCCTTATATCCTCCTCTCCCCCACTGATACTAACCCCCCACCACCACCCCAACAGACAGGACCTGTTCTGCTCTCCTGTTCTCTGTTTTTGGAAAGAACAAAAAAGACATTTTTGTTTGTTTAAGATAGCTATACAGGGTTTTTCATTGTGACATATCCATGTCTGTATGTATTATAACCTCATTCCCTCTATTTCTCTCCTTTCTACCTTAGTCCCCTTCTTACGGTGACTTCGTCAGGTTTAGAAATTCTATATTCATTCTTGTATAGGAAGTATATCAAGAGGTGAGGATTCTCAATTATTTTGTTTTCCCCTATATTTTCTCTAAAATGACTATGTGTTCATTTTATAGATATTTTTAAGAGCAAAACCCTTAATTGTAGATCTCTTAAGCTAATGTAGCATCTCATGATGGTATGCAGATGTTTGCACCTCTGTATCATAAAGACAGGAGTACCTCCCAGTGTCCTAGAAATTCTATCTTGACTGCTGCGTATTTGTTTTATTCCTTTTCTAGGTTACAGCACCATGAGCCCACAGGAAGACAGCGAGAATCCTCCATGCAACAATGACCCCTTGTCAGCTGGGGTTGATGTGGGAAACCATGATGAGGACTTAGACCTGGATGCCCCGCCTCAGACTGCAGCCCTACTAAGTCACAAGTTCCATCACTACCGCTCACACCACCCCACCCTTCATCACAGCCACCACTTACAGGCAGCTGTGACAGTACACACTGTCGATGCAGAATGCTAATGATCTCCTCACCTCCATGAGAAGATGGGGCCTGAGAGATTCAGAATGTTCTGGAAAGAAAAAGAGTCAGCCTAAAACCCACAACAGGAGACCCCTTGTGTTTGTGCTTTGTCCAGAGTGGTTTAACCCATTTGCTGCCTGTTGACATGTTTTAAAACTAAGAAACAACCACTAAGCCACATTTGTGAGTATAGGTGGCTGGCTTGACATGGAGGAGGGTAGCCTGATTAATGACCTTGACGTGATGCTAAGGGAACAGAACAGAAGGCCAACCTCCAAACACAGACACGCACAGTGAATGAAGCTGAGCCAGCGGAATGTTTCCAGGAGCCAGGAGCCCTCAGCTCTCCTTAACTGGAAGAGAGCAAAGTCTGCTCAACCAGAGACCAGGGACATGGCACATCCAGGAGGCACCAGCATGTGCACTGAAGATCACTCTTTGCTTCTCGGTACCTAGACCCCACAATTGCTGTATGGAACTCACTTTCAGCTCTAAACGATGCATCTCAAAGTTTCTAAGTAAAGGATTATTTTTCTACTATTTATTGAATTTTCAAACAATCTCAAACTTTGGGGGAAAGACAAGGAAACATGGGAGAAATTGTCAGCAATGACCCCTAGCTGTCGTGTGTGTGATGAAGTGGTTCTTTGAGTGAGGAGTTCTCTTATTTAACTGGTTATCGTCCCACTGCTCCAATCTACAGAATGGGAAAATGAAGACGTCTTTCCCTTTGATTTGTTTACATCATTTCATGGAGACATATCTTTATTCGTACTGCAGTATTCTTTCTCTGTGTTTGACAGAGGTTGGTGAGGGGTGGAGGAACCCAAGATGTTTTCAAAGAAATTGGATGTTTCTTTAGAATTCATTCCCGTCTCCCATACAATGCTTTTCTTAGGTTTCTACGAAATCTATTATTACGACCCCAGCCTTTCAGCTTAGGGAGGCTTGGATTTATTCTCCTTGTTTTAAATACTATAAATTTTAAAATGTCTCATTTTGACTCTGAGAATATTAACTACATGAGGGAAGACATTTTAAAATTGTGAAATTTGGATTCTTAAAGATTTCTTTTGAAATCATAGTTAAAAGCTGCTGCCAGTTATTTAAGAAGTCATCCACCTAACTGCTTTAGATTTATACAGGGATGAATCAAATCTGGCTACTATGACATGGAGCATTGTAATTTTAAAGTAGTGTTCTAATTACAGTGATGTATTTTAGATTCACATTTTGTGATTCAAATATGTTATAAAGACATTCTTGTACCCGTGTGTGGTAAATCTCCATTTATATGTAGTTGGGAAAAATTCACTGAATGTTTTAATGATAAGGTATTATGATATAATGTAAAAAAAAAATTGGTTCTTCAGCAGTACAGAAAGTGAATTATATATGTGCTATCCCAAAACCCCTCATACTGTGTATAAAATTGCAGTCTAGTGAAATAAACTATATGCAATGAACAGTTTGGGAGCCTCCAGTGACTTGGTCATGTACCATTTCAAGTTGCATTCAGTTTGTAACCTAGCAGGTCAGTTGCCAAACTGAAAGCAGCCCACCTGTGAATGCCATGGTCAACTTTAATCTTCTTAACCATTTCAAACCTGCAAAGAAACTTAAGGACACAATAAGATAAAATACAAAGCAAACCTTTAAAAATAGGTGAAACTGTCAGGGGTGGTGGTGCACACCTATAATCCTAACACTGGGAAGGCTGAGGCAGAAGGATCTGGAGTTCAAGGCCAGCCTGGGCTATGTAACAAGACCCTATGTCAAAGAAATTTTTTAAAGGTAAAAGGTGTAACTCATGGTAGAGCACTTGCCTAGCATGCATGAGATCCTGCATTCAATCCACAGTACTGGAAAAATATATATATAAATAAATAAATGTTTAGCTGGGTGCCGATGGTTCATGCCTATAATCCTAGCTACTTGGGAGGCTGGCATCAGGAGGATCATGGTTCAAGGCCAGCCCAGGCAAATAGTTTGCAAGACCCTATCTTAAAAATACCCAACACTAAAAAGGGGCTGGTGGAATGGCTTACATAGTAGAGCGCCTGCCTAACAAGCATGAGGCCCTGAGTTCAAATCACAGTACCTCAAAAAAAAATGTATAAAATGCAGCTCCCTCTTCCTGAGCAGCTAAATCCATGTCCCAATTTTAAATAATTCCAACCTGGAGGAATCACATGGGTTTACTGTCTTTCCAGAAAAGTGAACTTCTTCATGTGGCACTAGCATTTTCCCTAAAGGTAAGAATCTATGTGTTAAGAAACTAGCTTCTTATGCAGCGCTGATGGCTCACACCTATAAATCCTAGCTACTCTGGAAGCTGAGATCAGGAGAAAAGTGGTTCCAGGCCAACCTGGGCAAATAATTCAAGAGACCCTATCTCAACTGAAAGAAACCTTGGCATGGTGTCACACACCTGCCATCCCACTGACAGCCTGGGCAAAAAGCAAGACCCTATCTCTAAAATAACCAAGGAGAAAGGGCTAGAGGTGTGACTCAGAGCACCTGCCTAGAAATTGCAAGGCCCCTGAGTTCAAACTCTTAATACCACCAAAAAAAATAGAAACAAACTAACTTCTTAGAAAAGAAGTCACTCACAAAGCTTAGAACTTAAAAACAAAATGCGTACAGTCTACTCAAACACAGTAACAAACACTTTTTGCATATTTTGCAATAAGACTCTCCTTTCTGAACACTAGGGGAAAGTAACTGAATGCTTATAACCTGAGCAAGAAAACCTCAACAGAGTGTTAGGATCCTGCAGAGTATGACATAGAGGTTTGTGAACTTTGTGTTACTTTTTATCTTCTAAGTTATCTTTTCTTCCCCAGCCAGTCCATATAATATTGTTTAAGCATTTGGTGGTGGCAGTATTGTTATATCTTAAAAAGTAAACCACTTTTGTGGAAGGTTTTTGTCGTGGTGACTGATGTTGGTTCCCTTATGTTCCTCAAATACCCTTGTTCCTGAAGAGAGACCCTATCGATGGCTTCTTCCTCACCAAGGGCTTCTGATGCTTCCACCAATTTTGCTGATCAGTGTTGATAGAATCAAGAGTTCAGGGTATTCCAGGTCACTTTATTTAGAAAACAAAGGAAATTTCCTACATGCAGCCCAAATCAAACAGGTTCAGACTCACACTCGTTATAGTATACACTCATCTGGTTTTCAGATAACTTTATTTTAGATATTTTGGATACTGGTTGTTTTTCTTCCTTTACTTGATTTAATTTAAATATTCAGCTAAACCTCATTAATATATTTACTGAAAAAACTGTCAGATTTACTCAGACAGGTTTATTTTGCTAACCAGAGTGGCTGGCATATGGAAATTTCTGGAAGATCACTTAGGCTATATCAATAGACTGCTCCAGTGGTTCCACTTTTGAAAACGTGGATCTGGTAGAAATCATCATATTCTTAAAACATACCAGCCCAGCCTAATCTGTGTCCTTTTTGGTCTGTTTCTGAATAAAGGAACACTGATTTTCCTGTCTAAGATAGAATGCCATGGTCAGAATTTTTTTCTATTTTTTCAGTTTAAAATCTTAAATTGAAAGATAATAAAGTAGACCCTTGGTATCTACAGATAGGTGGTTCCAAGGAGACCACCACAGAGGAAAAACCTCGAATGTTCAGGATGCATAGAGTTCGGTGCTGTGCCACAGATGCTTGACTCATTTTTCCCATAACACCACCCAATTTCCACTAAAAACATGCCTTTGACCAAATGGCAAAAAAACATGAAAAAAATGCTCTCCATCTCTGGCCATAAAGGGAATGCAAATCAAAACTGCACTAAGATTCCACCTCACTCCTGTGAGAATAGCTATCATCAAAAACACCATCAACAACAAATGTTGGCAAGGATGTTGGTGGGAATGTAAGCTAGTACAAACACTTTGGAAAACAATATGGAGGCTTCTTAAAAAACTAAGCATAGATCTGCCATATGCTCCAGCAAACACACTCTTGGGGATTTACCCAAAGGAATGTGACACAGGTTACTCCAGAGGCACCTGCACACCCATGTTTATTGCAGCGCTATTCACAATAGCCAAGTTATGGAAATAGCCAAGATGCCCCACTATTGATGAATGTGGATCAAGAAAATGTGGTACTTGTACACAATGGAGTTTTACTCAGCCATGAAGAAGAATGAAATTCCGTCATTTTCAAGTTAAATGGATGGAACTGGAGAGTATCATCTTAAGCGAAGTTAAGGCCAAAAATCGCATGTTCTCCCTCATTTGTGGACTTTAGACCTAAAACAAGTGCAGTAATATTATTGGACTTGGGTCACACGCTAAGAGGAGAGCACATACAGGAGGAATAGGGAAAGGTAGGAAACCTAAAACTTGAAAGTGTTTGATGTCCCCACTATAGAGGAGCGATATAGTAACCTTAAAACGACAGAGGTCACTATGGGAAGGTGACTGGGAAGTAGTGAAGAGGTCATGTAGAATCAATTCGGGTTGTAACACACTTGTGCACGGAAGCAATGCTAGGAATCTCTCTATATAGCTACCCTTATCTCAACTAGCAAAAACGCTATGTCTTTCTTGTTGATTATGTCTTCTCTTCAACAAAATTGAATAAGAGGGCAGAACAGGTTCTGCCTGGCAGTGAGGGGAAGAGGGAGAGGGCAGGGGGCAGGGGGGAAAGATGGCCCAAACAATGTATGCACATATGAATAAATGAGTAAGTAAACCAAAAAAAAAAAAAACATGCCTTTCAACATATCTGAAATTCTCACTTTATCACTTCAATTAAGTACATTCAGTTTTGCCATGCTTTTGGGGTACCAATTGGCTGGAGCATCACAGAGGTGTACAGAGGGTAACAGGAAGAGGTTTTGAATTGAAGCAAGATATGAATTGTGGGACAAATCACTGGGGAATTAGTGAAGTAGAGGCTAAACTGAAGCGTGAACATGGTACTGACCTATCGGACAGAGCTAAATATCATTCAATGAATTCGTGCATGGAGAGCCCTTACAAATGCCTGCCACAAAGCATGTGTTCAGTGTGAGTCACTGTCACCCTTTCTCTTATTGGCTGAGGCATGCAGGATGTACCTGGCAGCTCCAATCCCTCTACACCAAACCACACAGACACTGACTATTCCTTGGCATCCTTCCCAAACTGATACTGCTCTTGTCACCCCAGCATGGCAAGTGACACCACTATTGATGGAGCTGTTCCCCTGCAGAACCTACCAAGCTCTGTTAGCTCTATTGACTCTGCTTCGAAGGTATATTTTCTGCCATTCCACTTTTCTTTTTTTGGTGGTGGTGCTAGGGAGGAACCCAGTGCCATGCATATACTAGGCAAGTGCTCTACCACTGAGTTACATATTCAGCTCTTGTGTAAGGCAAAGTCTCAATGTGTAGCCCAGGCTGGCCTTGAACTCATGATCCTCCTACCTCAGACTCTGGTGTGTTGGCATTACAGACATAAGCCACCACACCAAGCTTTTTTTTTTTTTTTTTGAGACAGAGTCTTTGCTATATAGCCCAAGCTGGTCTGATCCTCCTGCCTCAGCCTCCCGAGTGTGTCACCACTTCTGGCTTAATTTCCTCCATCTTCACTGCCATCATCTTGTGTTGATCTATAACTCTACAGTGGTTTCCTGTCCACATTTCCATTTTTGCTGTTCTGTAATCTACTTCCAACTCAGAATGCTCTTTTAAAACATATACTAGATAGCCTTATCCTCCCTCCCTTTTCCTTTTTCCTTTTTGTGGTACAAGTTTAAGCTCAGGGCCTTGCACTTGCTAGACAAGCAATCTACTTCTTCAACCATATCCCCAGTCCTTTTGGCTTTTTAATTTGTGTGTGTGTGTGTGTGTGTGTGTGTGTGGTACTGAGGCTTGAACTCGAGGCCTACACCTTGAGCCACTCTACCAGCCCTTTTTTATGAGGGGTTTTTTGAGATAGAGTCTCGCGAACTGGCTTTGATCCGAGATCATACAGGAGTACATATATTTCTACATTAAGTCACACATTCGGACCACTATCACCAGGAAGATTGTTTGTGCTGGTTGCCTCAAGTCTGAGCTTTTGACCAAATAAGTGCAATGGATCTATGAAGCTTCTCATAGGACTGACAAGAAACCCAACCCACAGACTGACATCAGCAAACAGAATCATTCATTACCCCACCATGGAGGAAGAGTGGGTCAGTGCTAAACACCAGCAGTCAACCTCATTATCTACTTACACCTCTATGTTCAGTAAGAAAGGGATCGTGTCTGTGTAATCCTTTCCTGTGCCCTAACCTCCCAGCAGTGTCTGACATGTAGTCTGTGCTTCTGCATAGTTGTTGAATGATGATCTAGACGAGAGAATGGAGAAAGCTGTTGAGAGGCTGCTCATTCAGTGGAGGTATACAGAAGGCTTGCCAACCAGCCACACACAGAACTTGACAAACACAAGTGCTACCATTTGAT